CAGTGCGGGCACGTGTTGCGGCGCGAGAGCCACTCGCGGATGCAGGCGTGGTGGAAGGCGTGCTGGCATGGCAGCGCGATGCGGTCGTCGTCCATCGGCGACATGCAAATGACGCACGCGTCGTCGGTGGGGGCGGCCTGCCAAGACGGGAGCTGCGCAAGGATCGTCGTGCTTGCGGGTGTGTACGCCTTGAGGTGCGGGCCAACGTACGTGACCATAAAGTTGGCCCATGTCGTCGACTCAAAGACCTGGATGACGTTGGCGACGTTGGCGCCAGGCAGCGCCTTGTACTGCACGTTGACGTTGATGTGGACGCCCTTTGTCATGGTCGAGGCGAATTGGGAAATGACCATTACACAAGACAATGGTCTGGTCAAGGAGTATGTAATCCTGGGCTTCATTAGTTGAGGTCACCCATCCGATAATCTTCTATGCCACACGTTTGCGAGCACTGTCGCCGCGCGTTCCGCGGCCTCTTCGCGCGGCGCCGAATCTCAACGCAGTGATATTTGGCCGTATCCGTATCCGGATACGATGCCAGGATCATCCTTATACTTGTGTTTGTATGCAGCGTACAGTGTACGAGGCAGTGTATTTTTCGGATTGCAGCGCGCGCGCTTTTTCTCGATAGTGTATGTAGGCCGCTGCACAGCGTTCCACCCTGTTCCAGTCGTGAAGAGAGAAGCTTGCCTATCATCGGCTCCAAGGAATCAATGACGCGTGGGAGAGAGCACCGGAACAGCACTCTAGTCAACAAGAAACCAGTCTGTCCCAGGAGTAGTAGCAGCAATGCACCTTGCGCGACCAGAGCGAAGTAGCGGGCCGTAATGCTATCGACTGTCGGCATTACGTGGCTTGCGGTACACGCTCCTTGCACGGTGGCGTTGCCAACGCTCGGCCTCCTTGCACTTACGAGCCGTGGCCACTGTTGGTTGCGCACTGGTTCCAAAGTACGCCATTGTATTGGCACTTCTGAGCTGCCGGATGTTCCATACGAAGTGTCATTGACGCGCTGCGATTGGCGAGCTACGGTCGTCGTGCTTGGTCTTGTGTGGACAGAAGCGTCAGAACCAAACACATCTGGTGCGTGCGTGTCTGGTCTGGCGCCAGACGAGATACTCACACGTCCCAGTGCTCCACGATAACACAGAAAAGGGCCGCGCTCCAAATGGCAAAGCACGGAGGACATCTGTACCTGTAATGCTCGTGCTCATCTCTTCACACAACGACCCGATGTCGTGTTGGACCCAACACGTCAGATCCGCTGGCGTCGGTTTGTCCGTCCAGATGTGCGAGGTGCACTTGACACAGGAGAAAAATGTCAACATGGATGTGCAAGGCTACAACGTCATTTGTTCTCAAGCCCTTGCGATGGCTCGTACGAAGGGGTCTCCGGTCCATCCACACTTCCTTGTCATTGACTCGTCGGTGGTGGTAGCGATCCACGACCAAGATGCGACGAATAAGAAGCATGACGTGACCACAACTCTATGCAAGCATAGCAATGTCTATCGAGTACTTTGGCTGAGGCACCATCACTCAAGGCGTGATCGTTGCAGTCACATTTTCCCGGTTCCCTTCGATATAGGGTGTCGTCTTTGTGCTGCATCGTTCGTCGTCGCAGTCGCACACGACATGGCAACGAATGTGCAATGTCGCGCCATACTAGCAAGCTACGAGCAGCTTCCCGCTGCTGTGTTCGCCATCAATGCAGCTGCCTAAGCTTATTACATGCTTGCACGCTTGTCGCGCCCGTGGAATCATTGCTTGCCACGTCGTTCAATGCTCTCCGCGATGACCCTTGGTGTGCGCGCTACATATACCTTGTTCATTCCACAATCTCGAGCCACGACCGCAAACGCTCCTCGCTTGACGCACCGGCCTGCCGCACGAGCGCATTGGAATGGCCACCATCTTTGTAATTGCTTGTAAACCCTTCGGCGCCCCCGTTCGCTAAAATTACGGATCATCCGTAAATTTTTCAAGAACTCATTTCAACAGCAACAGACCAAGAGTCGCGTGCGTCGAAGGAGCAAACAACCCGAGCTCGTCGTCGAACCGAAGAGTTCGGGTTGTGTGCTCTTGTTTACTTTTATAACACTGCTCCACCTTCAGGGAGCTTTGGATTGGCATGGCTGAAAAAGTGAAAGGGCTACAACGAGATCCATCCTACAAAGTCTTTCATGCTTTGAGCCTGCAAAGCAACGAGAAACGATAGTTCATTTGCCACCAGCACACACACAGCTGCAGTAGTGCCTGCTAGTAGCAGTTCGGAGCCAAATTCGTCAAGTTGGCCGGAATTTTTTTTTGCCACCAGCAATCAGATAGGCGACAGATCAACTCGACTCACTTGAGCTCACTATGGCACGTCAGTCCTCACGCGACAACTTCGGGCACCATATATGAGTCCGAGGCCGCGACAATTTGTTCTGCGGCTTCCGTCCGCAACCGACGCGGCGTCTGCGACGCGAACTCTCTTTTGCTCGAATCGAGCAATAGCGCTCGCAACGCCCAATCAGCGACGCGCGAACAATACCTTGGCCAATCCACGCGCGCGCCTGCGATCTTTCGATCCGCGGCTTCCAACCTGCAGCTCTGACACATTCCGCAATTTGCTCGCTGAATAACATGAAGTCGACTGCTCTGATTGCACTCTTGGCCGCCACCTTGGTGAGCGCGCAGCAGCCCGGCCAGTGCAAGGCGACGCCCGACTGCGCGAAGTTCGGCGATGGCTACACGTGTGTCGCCGTGCAGTCAGCGATCGCGGGCATCACGCTTGCGTCGCAGTGCGTCATTGGCACGACCTGCGGCGGCAACACGCCCGGGAAATGCCCGACGTTCAGCTCGTGGTCGTCCAAGTTCCAGAAGATCCAGCCAGTCTGCGCCTTCACGAACGTCACCAACTGCGTCAACCCGATCAAGGATGGGACCACGGCGGCATCGACAAGCGGCTCCACTAATGTCAACTGCTACCAGGCGACGTTCACGGCCAACAACGACTCGCAGATCGTCAATGGGATCTACAAGTGCGTCGACTCGGGCCTTTATGTCTCGCAGAACCTCGGGGCCATCCAAAACTTGACGACAACGCAGATGGACGCGTGCGCCGGCAACACGTCGACCAGCGGTGGCGCCTTGTGCAACGGCCACGGCACATGCGCGCCGACGATCCCCTTCTCGAGCAAGTACCAGTGCCTCTGCAACGAAGGGTACTCGTCCTCGGACAACTGTGACGTCGCGACGTCCAACGTGTGCGACAGCTTTGGGAGCTGCGGCTCGGGCAACTCGTGCGATCAAACCTCCAAGCAATGCAGCTGCACGTCGGGCACCAAGGGTCCTCAGTGCTCGCTATGTGACTCGACGGCCCCGGCCTCGGACCAGTGCAGCGGCAACGGCGTCTGCAACACGGAAGGCGTCTGCACGTGCAACTCTGGGTACACGGGCTCCCTTTGTGCCAAGACCGCTGCGGACACTGCTGGCAGCACGACGGGTGAAACCAACAAGAGCGGCGCTGGCACCCAAACGGCGCTGTCACTCGCGGCGGCTCTCGTCGTCGTCTTTGCTTCTGCGCTTTAAATCGCATTTCTGACGATCCCAATACATGATTCTTTGCAATTTGAATTGCGCTTCTCGACCGGCATCATCGATGGACCTCGGTCCATTCGCATCCATCTCTTCCTCTGTCCAGGCAGCGGCGGCGATGCAGGGCGGACCGACCGACCCTCACGAGCGGAGGTAGCATCGGTAGATAGAAGCTCAACGGTTCTCGTCGATGGTTCTCCTCGGTCCCTCTTCGTTTCAGCAACAGTCGAAGGCCGTCGACCACTGCTGCCATCTTGGCGCAGCGACGAGGTGGCGCCATCTTGAGTCTCTAAAAGGACATACCGGTTGTCCGTATACGCGCGTCCGGATAGGCCTGTGACAACGGATGCACCATTTGATTGGCGAACAGCGCATTTATATTAATAGCATACTATTTGTATGCAGGTGGGTATATGCGCAATAAAAAATACAGCGCAAATAAATACGGTGACATCAATAGAAACATCCTGCTATTTTTAAAAAGGAGCGAAATGCGGCGGCGCAAGTGGTTGGTGTGGAATGATGGCCCGCTTTCACTGGCCAGAAGTATAAGTCCAAAAAGCATTCCTAGTTTTTCCTCAAAAGCTCGAACATGGTACGACCGCGGAAGCGCTCCTGGCGCAGGAAGAGATGAGGATGATGGCTCATGATGCTGCTGCAATGTAGCCTTCGCACAAGTCGTTCCGTACCAAGACCATCCTCGCCAAGAAGATGAAGCAGAACCGCCCGATTCCCCAGTGGATTCGCCTCAAGACGGGCAACACGATCCGGTACAGTCGCAGGTGGTCTTTGGCATGCGATGGCTCATCACTCGTGTAGCTACAACGCCAAGCGCCGCCACTGGCGCCGCACCAAGCTCGGCTTGTAAGCGCGCAGCGAATCTGCAAGGCAAGCGATGCGTCGTCGTTAACTTTGATGAATGGGGGATCATGGACCGTCGTTCGACTGACACCCGAGTCTCTCATTCGTCGCTGTTGGACGCTGTACTTTGCCATGCTTGCACTAGCTTTTGGGGAATTATCAACTTCGTAAGACGAGTGGAGAATACAATGATTCACTTTTGACTGCGAAGCAGCTCTCTACTCCGCCAAGCTCGCCGACAGAAGCGCAAAGAGCCCGTTTGGGTTGTCGACGTGCACCCAGTGGTCCGACTTGGGCAGCAAATGCACATGGACACGGTCCCGCGACGGCAGCGCGTCGAACCGGTCGAGGACGGTTGGCGTCCAAAACTTGTTGTACTCGGCGCGGACAAAGTGGATCGACGTGGCCGGCGGCGGGTGCGCCAGGATCGGCCAGCAGTCGGTGGCAAGGAACGCCTTGAAGAGCACGTCGATCACCGGGAGATCCATCTTCCACTCAAACTCGTCGGCGTTGGCGGCCGTCGGCTTGAGGTTGGTCGTCATCCACTGCGCCTGGCCCGTCTCGAAGCCCTTGGCTTCCAGGACAGCGACAAGCTCGCGCTTGGACTTGATCGGCAGCGGCACGCTGAGGAGCGCTGGAAGCACGTGGTCCGTCGAGCTAAAGCTGACCTCTTGCGTCCGCGCCACGTAGTCGGTTTGTGCTATCGTACTAGGATCTAAAACTCGGATCCAAGGACGCTTGGGTGCGTACCGCAGCCTGGCAGGGCGTCGAGGACCCATGTATCGCGGGGCACGCTGCGGTGCTGGCGACGGCACGCGTCGAGGTACGTCAAGGCCACCTTGCCGCCAAACGAGTGGCCGGCGACAACGTCCGGCGTCACGCCAAGCGCGTCCGAGAGGTCGCTAGCGACCAGAATGATCACCCACGAGACAGATTGCTGGTCGACGTACATGACGTCTTGCGCGCACGCGCCGAGGTTGTGCGGCGGGCTAAACGACGGGCTCTCGCCGTGGGCTAAGAGACACAGAGCCGAGTCGATCGACGTCCACAATGCAGCGTAGGAGTACCGCGGTGGTCAATCGCGACAACTTGCCAGTTTGGGTACGTGTTAACGATGCTACAAGCCGACCATGGGGCTTCTCTTCTCGGTGCGAACGTACCGTCGGCAGAACGTGCCCCAGTTGCCCTTATTGCCTAGTCACAGAGATCGGCCATGAGGTTCGGTGCAGCGCGAGCGTCTATCGCACCAAGAATGCCATGCATGATGAAGATGGTCTTCTTGGAGGCATCCAGCGTCGTACCGCCCACGATCGTGTGGGCGAGCGTGCTCTGCGTCCGCGCCGCAAGGCTAGGACCAGGATGAGCGCCATGCGTCAACCTCGCTGTCGTACCGGCCAAGGCGCGTCGGCTTCAAGGGTCCGTGGCGCAGCATGTTCGGTCTCGAAAATAACACACCAAAGCGACCTTGGTGCAACATATTATGTTTAAGAGGTTCTCGCGCCCCATGGAATCCGATATGGCATGTCGCACATCACACGCCAAGATTTGGCGCCGGTCACCTAACAAGCAAAGCCTTGTCGATCGACATGCGCAGATACTCGTTGGCGGCTGCTCGACGATGGACGAAACGCAGAGACGTGCGTCTTGGACATGCAAGAAAAGCTTATGGTAGTTGATTCGGGTTGTTGTTAATATATCACAGGACAGTATTGGAGGTTTTAGCATACTTTTTGCTGGTACGAGTACATGGAAATAGGGAGCGAAGACATGTCGACAGACTTGGGCGGGATCTGGGCCTTTGTCGGGCCGACCTCGTCGCGGTTCGAGGCCGAGAGCGATCGTCGTTTGGTGAGGAACTTGCCGCGGAGCGAGCCCTTCAAGAGATCGTAGAGGTAATGGTACTGCGTGCGAAAGTACGCTTCCTCTTCGTCCTCGCTCATGTTGAGCGACGCGTGCTGCGGCTCGCGCCAGTAGTGTCGCTGCCACGAGTGGATCGCGTTGCCCCACTCCTTGCGCTCGGCGTTGGATGACGCCGAGAGCATAAAGTTTTCGGGCGTCCCAATCGGGTTTTGTCGGCCGTTGACGAGCTGCGTGCGGCAGACGCTCACGTGGAAGCTGTGGTCGCACTGGTACGCCTCGGCCGGCGTCGCGCCGCGGATCTTCAACTTGGTTTTCGAGAGGCCAATCTCGTCAATGAACGCGCCGTGGCGCTCGTCGTAGAAGCGGACCTTGCCGTCGGCGAGGACGACGTACACGATCTCCGAGACGGTGGACCCATGTCGGATAAGGTACCCTTCCTTGGACATGCTCTTCGTTGGCGGCGAATCGGCAAATACGCTCCCAACGCCAGACGTGACGCAAGTCGTAGTCGAACGTGCAGCTTGCGTGACACGCGCACCGGGCCTTTCTGATACGAACCTTGCACTTTGTATACCGCACCTATTTCCCGAGATCAGCGGAAAAGACAGCGCGGCTCGCCTTTGCGCCGGTGTCCGGATAATCCGAAAGCCGGAGTATGCATTGTAAGAGGTTTTGACATGCAAGAAGAGAGGTAGGGCTGGGGCGACCGCGGGTTGGCTGGCACAGACGGCGCCGAATTGATTGGTTTGGAGTTGGGGACCGTAGGCGCGAGTGTCAAGGCGTTTTCACTATTGGTAAACGCTCATTTTCCCCAATTAAAATGTCCGACAAGGCTCCCGTCACCGTCCGCACGCGCAAGTTCCTCCGCAACGCGCTCCTCGCGCGTCGCCAGATGCTCGTCGACGTCCTCCACCCGGGCCGCGCCAACGTCCCCAAGGCCGAGCTCCAGGAGAAGATCGCCAAGATGTACAAGATCGCCGACACCAACACGGTCTTCCTCTACGGCTTCCGCACGGCCTTCGGCGGTGGCAAGTCGTCGGGCTTCTGCCTCATCTACGACACGGTCAACGATGCCAAGAAGTTCGAGCCCAAGTACCGCCTCATCCGCGTACGTTCTCTTTGCCTCTTGGTCATGTCGGCAGACGTGGCATCGTCATTGTTGTATCTCTCTCCTGATGTGATGGTGCATGATGATGATGCTGATGATGATGATGCCACGCACTGCGTCCTGTCCAACGCAAGATACTCCATGGACAGATAGGCTCATGCGCGTTTGTTTCGTTTCGTAGCAAGGCCTCAAGGACAAGGTCGAGACCTCGCGCAAGCAGATCAAGGAGTCGAAGAACCGCGGCAAGAAGGTCCGTGGTGTCGGCCGCCGTATCGCTCGCCACAAGGCCGCCAAGGCCAACAAGTAAGCGTTCGTTTGATCCGATTCGCTACCTGGGGAGCCCGATCGTTTACTGTTGGGAGCGTTGCCGCGGTATGCTCACTTGTGTCATTCTATCGTATTTGATAACATGATGTGGTCGACCGCAGTGACAACCTACTTGTTTCTTCTTGCTCGACGCATCCAGCATAGAAGGCGACATATCTGGTGACCTGGATTTAAGAAATGGGCTAAACATACGAGCATGGATGCGAACATCGTTGTTAGCAATCTCTCCTACCGGTATGGCGATGGCAGTCAATAGTGTCCCGTGCCCACCGCATGGCACGAGCTCCCGACGTGACGCAGGCTGGCCAAGAACGCCGGCTTACACGCCGGGAGCTCCGTCCCATGAGCACGGGGGCTCGTACACTGCCATCACCAAATAAAAAGGTTGCCATCATCAACACGTTCGCATCCGAGATGGTTCGTCCGGCCGGTAACGGGTCCAAAAAGGCGTCCAAGTGCAAAGCGTGCCCATGATCGGTAGCTCAGCTATACTAGTAGCTTATATGCATCTTATTGATCTTGGTGGCGCGGGAACGAGTGCTGGTGCCACGCCTGTGAGCCACGCTGGTGTATCGATTCGATCGCGGTAAGCTTCTGTTGCTTGTCCCTGCATGTCCGCTCCCGAGGTAATGGTCGCTGCACGAAGAGGACGCAACATATTGGTCATAATCATCATCCATTGAACAAGCCTAACACTCTAAATCTGTCTGTATACGCGGGCGCGGCGCGAGTGCCCAAAACGCGCCGCACGCGCGTCGTGGTCTATGCTACTGTATGACGCAGCAGCCGCCGTTTGGCGGCGTCGGCGGCGGTGGCGCATGCGTCGTCCTCGAATAATGCGTCTGCTTGGAGTACGTGATCTCGTGGAGCGGCGTGCCGCTGTCTTGCTCGTCGACGAAGACGATCTTCCGTCCCGTGCGCGGTCGGTTCCACGGGTTCTCGTTCATAAACGAGCTCGACTGGCGCAAGCCCTCTGGCGTCTCACCCTCGACTGCTCGCTCCGGCGTCTCGGTCCTCGTCTCGTCCATGGGCGCGATTGTGAGTGCTTGCTCGGATGCGACTTTGGCCATGTATCTTCGTCGTCCTTAAGCGCGTTCCATGTACTGCGATTCGCGACGAGTCTTCCGTGCCGTCTCGCTTGCGCCGCTTCAGCAAATGAAACCCGCTATATTTGTCGTTCATGCTGCGAAAACGCCCGCCTAATTCGAGGGACCCAACAGCTTTTTTACGTAATGCCGTTATTGCGTGCTTGCACGCGTCCAGCAACGATCACACTTTTTAGATCGCGTCCCGCGCCGCCACGGTCGTCGATGTCGCTTCGTCGTCCACGTCGTCGTGATGAAGACTCGCGTCAGTCTCCGTGTCGGACGACTCTTCGACGACGACGAGCTCGACGTCGCCGGCCTTGGTACTCGGGCAGTCGGCCTCGGACGACGGCACTTGCACCGAGTGCGCGTAGAGCAAGCTTGTCCGCGTCGGCCGCCAAATGATCGAGACGACAAAGACGACGCAAAAGTTGAGCGCGCGGCTTGAGGCCCAGAGCACCCACATCCAGTCCCACGAGAGCTCAATGCGCTTCGAGTACCTAATACAGTACGATGCTATCAAGTCCCATCCACGGGTCATGGACGACGGCGGTCGTACACGGCGTTCTCAAACACGGTAAAGAGAAACGTGATGGCCATAAAGGTCACGAGCACCGTGAAGAGCGTGTCGTACATCTTGTACTTCGCCGACTAGAACGAGTACCTAAGTCGACGACGAGGATCCAATGTCGTACCTGTCCCGTCGCACGAAGCGTCTTGCGCGTGAGCATGAGCGAGGTAAAGATCCAGCCGGCAAAACACCCGTCCGTCGCGGTCGCGAGGAGCTCCCAAACGAGCGGCGGCGAGACATCACCCGCCGACTGGTTGGAGAGGTGTGTGATCTCCAACGCGCCGGTCGAGACGACGTAGCAAAGGCCGAGACCAGTGACAAGCGATATCTCGGCGCACGTGAGGGACGGCCGCGCGATCCCGTAGCCCAAGCAAATGATCATCGTGAGCACGCGAGCAATGAGCTTTGAAAACACCTACGTCATTCATAGCAAGACCTACTTCCATACAGACAAGGACGCACCTTGAGAAGTGTCGAGGCAACAATCATCTTTGGGTAGGGACAGCAGAGCGCTTCGCCCGACTCGTTCAGCGATGCGTAGGTCACATACCACAACAACGTCTCCACTAGAGCGACCATACATCAGCATCACGCGTGGATGAGAGGGAGCGCATACGTGATGTGAGTAGCAACACGAGAAGGATAAAGTAGTGCAAGCGGATGAGCGTATGGCGATTCCGGAAGAGCAGCACGAGAAAGACTCCGTCTGCAACGAGGTACGCGAGGCAGAGGCTTCCGCTACACAACAGACGTCAATACGGCCACCGAGTTGGTACTAATGTAGCATACCTGAACGGGAGAAGGCCCCACATGAGCCCCGGCAAATAGCCGTACGGGTTCTTGAACGCAATGGCGGCGCGCAGATCGAACGCAGCGCTGTTGGGGTTCTCTTCAAAGGGCAGGTAGGTCGCTGGTTCCGACTCGTTGCGCTTGGGCCGAGCGCACGTGACAATCACGACGGTCTGGACGCCGGTCGTCGCGACCACGAACGCGTCCTTCCCTTCCATGACGGTCGAGTTGTCGGCGGGGAAGAAGAGCTGGCCCGTGAGGTTGGACGTGTTCATCTGGCTGTAGTCTTGGCTGCAGTAGTCGTCGGGCGTCTGCATATTGTCGTCGTCGGTGTAGATGACGACGGCGACGGCGTACTCGGACGTCGGGTCAAGCTCGTCCTCGATCGGTACCGCCAAGAAGTCGACATGGACCCACGAGTCGGCGGCGGCGTCGCTGCGGAACATGCGCTCCGAGGCCTTCCATCCGACCGCAGGGCCATCGACTACGTGGATGGAGGCCTCGATCGTCCAGAGGCAGGCGGCCAGTACGAGGAAGATACCGGATCGCATCCTTCTTGCGCTTCCTTTCCCACGACAGTGCCCCTCCCACAACATCGACCGACTAAAGCAGCTGGTTCGACTAACTAATCCGTTTGCCCCAATGTCCCAAAATATCATTCCTGCCCGCCTGCCTTGTAAAGCGAAAATGAGCTCGAGCCTACGCGACCGTTGCCTAGCCATCATTGCCTAGCAATCAGTGACCTTGAGCAGCGGTAGAATTGACCAATACAGTGCATTACGATAGATACTGCATGCAGTTCTGTCAGATTCCAGCAACGTTAGTTAGTTGAAACAGTCGACTATATTCTGGGATTTTCCTTTGAGGTTGGGTTTTTCGAACGCAGCTGGTTTGTGGCCCCAGTCGGCTGATTTGAACAAGGCCTGATACTGGAATGTGATAGACGGTTGCAATTGGTGGATTTTCAACAGCTATTTCAGCCAATCCGATGACGCCAACGTCATTTGGCCAGTTGGTGTCTATTTTTATGACCACCGTCCCCAAATTTTAAAACAAGTCGAACGAAGATATATTACACTTTAAAAAGCAAAACATGACAAATGTATAAAACAATAATTATCTGGATATTATTATTGTCATCATTGATATTATTGTGGGTCCCACCGCAGGCCATAAGAAACGGAAGTCGGCGACGATGCGAGGGCGGTCCGAGTACACTAAGGTGAGCGAGGAGGTATGGATGTGCTGGTGGCGGAGGAGATGATGCGTAGCGCTGCATGCAGATGCATCTTCCTAAGGCGAGGGCTCCATGCTCATGCTACATCTTCGTAGCCCGACGATGAGGAAGCATCGTTCCTCAACGAAGGCCAAACTCAACAAGTACGTCGACAACCTCCATGGCCGCATCTCTGACGATAACGATGCTAGATGGAGATGCACAAGCAAGACGAAGAGCTCGGCCAGCTGCACGACGCAGTGAAGCGGTTGGGCGACATGAGCAAGAACATCAGCGCCGAGCTCGACACCCAGAACCAGTACGTCTGAACCGCTTCCACGCCCATGTTCATGGCCTCTTGTAGCATGCTGGACGAAGTCAATGCGGACACGGACCGCGCTCAGGACAACTTGGACGTCATTACGCAAAAGACGCGCGAGCTTGTCAAGCAAGCAGGTACCTTAGACCCTCCCGACGATCTTGGGACGCTCATTGCGCCACTGCAGGTGGAATGCAGAACTTTTGCATCATCATCGCACTCAGTCTCGTACTGATTATCTTGACCTACTTGGTCATTATGACTTAATAACTCTTTCTATTCGCCCCCGAGTAATGCTACGTGAGTTGGTTGAGGAAATTCTCGAGCGGAAACTCAATCTGCCGCGCAATGCGTTCGACAAACTCGTGGTCCGCAAGACAGCGCAGCTTGATATCGTCGAGGTCGTCCAGCGACGAGACGCGCTGGAGCAGTCGCATCCGGACGAGTACGTTCACCTAATACACACGTCAGCAAGTCAGTGGAGCGTGCCAAGCTCTACGTGGTTGAAGACATCGCTGCGCGAGAGCGTCGTCGAGAGATCGTCGGCCTCGAGTCCGAGCGTCGCTGGTGGGTCGTATTCTTCGAGAATGCTCGAGTAGATGGCGAGGAGACGCTGAAGCGGAAACACTTTGGGACCGATCAGCTGTTGCGGGATTGCTTCGGCTTGTTCTTGGTCATCTTGCGGGCTCCGCTGCTGCCGCCGCCCTTGCGCCGCTTCTTGCTCGAGGCCGCAGTTGAAAAGTACACGGCGTCACTCTCCTGCGGGTTGAAGGACGAGAGGTAGCTCGCGAGCACGAGCATGAGGCAGCCAAACGGGAGGTTCACGCGCTCCGTCGTCGTCGCCTCGGTGTGGGACTCGATCGCAGTGTTGCGGTGGTACAAATGCTGGAAAAGGCTCTTGGCCCGAAGTTGTGTTTGGTGCACGAGCTGCTTGTGGGCCGCCTTGTAGGAGTCTACATTTCGCATGCATTCTGCATTTTGCAACACCAGGGCGTACCGGCTGTCGGGTCGTGACCGCCATCGTCCGGCGCGTGCTCGTAAAAGAGAGGGAGGAGCTGGATCACCATGTAGCGAAACTCGATCCAGTCGTGGCAGTCATGCTCAAAGAGCGAGTAGAGGTACTTGATCCATGCGCGGAAGAGTCGCTCGTGTTCCCAGAGCTTGAGCTGGTCGACCAGAATATCGCAGATTTGCTCTACGAAAAAAAGGATTGGAGCGACTCCAGAACGAGTCGTCGCAACCTTGCGTGTACAGAGGAAAGTGGACATGCACGGGCACGAATGGCAAAAGCAGTCGCTCCAGCGTGAGCGAGATCCCGCGCGTGACAAGGACGAGCGAGAAGCGCATCTTCATACCAAGCTACGGACATGCATAAGCACCGATACATGAGTATAGGATAAGATCGACCTCGTTGTTGAGGCGGCAAAGACTGCGGAGGAGGTCTTGGAACCCGCGCGTGAGAAAGTGGTCGATGTTGTCCAGCACGACGAGGACGTTGGGGACGTTTGTCGAGTGGAGGCCCGTCATGATCTTGGAGAGGCACTGGACGAACCCGAGGAGGTTCAGGTTGTGGTACCCATCGCCCGTGGCCTTGGACTGGAATATCGGGAGCGGCTCGTCCGGCTGCGACCGCGCCAACGGATCAATCTAGGTCCCATTCAGCGCTTGCGACGAATCAATCAAAAAGCACCTGGCGCAAGATGTCGGTGAAGACTTGACGCCGCGTGTAGATGGTCGTGCAGTCGACGAAGGCCGTGTACATGGCGTGGTTGGCCTGCTTGACGGCCTCCAGCGCGGCGCGCACGCAGCTGCTCTTGCCCGTCGAGTTGTAGCCATGCACCACGATGACGGGGTACCCAACGCTCGTCATTGGCTCGTACATCTCGGAGCTCGTCGTGTCGACGTCGGGCTCGCCGCCCATGAGCGCGACGAGCTCCGCGAGTTGGGCCGCGCGGCCAAGCATTATTGCTCTTGGTGGCGGATAATGCTCACAACCGGACGGCCGGATAAATGGCGAGCACAATGCGATCTTGCAGCTTCAACTCGACAAGTGCAAGTGCAATTGCAGGCGCCGCCGCAGCTTTCGGCGCCGACTTGTCGACTAACTGCAAACGACACAGTCGACTGCGTCAATCGTGCCTCACCGATTGCTCCGTGCCGCAAAATGACCGTGAGCCGTCAACCATGCACCGGACTCGGCTAGAAACAGACGTGCCATGCAGCGTATTGCAGGTTGCTCCGTGCGAATAGTCTGATCGACACCTACCGTGTCAGTCACACCTGGATGGTAGCGTACAATGGTATATACTAATACAAATGAGTTCTCATGCCGAGGCTGAGTGGCGCCACCCCGTGTGGGGAGGCCGCGTTAACAATTCGATCTCGCTGCTGCAGCAATGTGGCCGTGTACCGTGGCGAAGTCCGAACGAGTTGCTTTGATATTGCGTGCGTTCATTGTCGTTTTTACCTCGCGTGCAACAGCAATGGGCTCACACATGGCACTGGCACTCAACTCAACTGCGCGTTACATCAATAAGCTCTTTTTGCATGTTGATTTGCCTCGCTCGTCACAGGTCACCATCGCCAGCTTACTCGCCGCCGCGAGCCACGCGTCGTGTGTTGCCTGGTTGAAGAGCACGAATTCGATGGCGTCGTATGCATTTTCACCCGCCGCCTCCGCAAATTCCAAGCACGTTTCAAGTGCTGTTTGCGCTGCCGACTCGAGCGGGTAGCCGTAGACACCGCAGCTAATGGCGGGAAACGCGATCGTCTTGCAGCCGTACGCATGCCCGAGCTCGAGGGAATGCCAGTACGCATCCCCAAGAAGCTTCGCCACGGGTAAATTGCGGCGGTACACGGGCCCGGCGGTATGAATGACGTACTTGGCGCGCAAACAAAAGGCCTCGGTGATGCGAGCTTCGCCCACGGGACAGCTACACGATCAGAAATGGATCTCGACACGCGCAAGGTGGTCGATGGACGAACCGAACGTGGCGTCGCACTTCAGGAACTTGCATGCACGCTTGCAACAACTTCGGACCCGCGGCCTTGTGAATAGCACCATCGACACCTAGTCCAGCATCCGAAATCAGTACACGGGGGTTGCACACCAGTCGTCGGCTGACCGCTGCCGCCAAGCATGAGCTCGTTGGCTGCGTTCACGATGGCGTCGCCTTCCCAGCGCGTGATGTCGCCGAGCGACACAATGAGCTGGCACATGGGCGAGAGCTGGAACGTCGATGGCTCCATGGAGGCAATTTTAAAATGATCAACCCGACACGACTCGCTCGGGGCTGATTGTGACAACCAAAGCGAAAGGGCGACTTGATTGTTCATGTTGCTTCCGGATACTACGTCGTATCCGTATAATCCGATCCACGCCTGAAACGACGTCTTCCTCGCACGATGGTGGGATCCTGGCCGAAGCGGAGCATGATGGTCGACGGTGCATCGTAGGGCCCGAAGAAGAAGAAGGGAAAGAAGAAGTCCAAGGAAGAGCTCGAAGAAGGTAGACGACGTGCATGTACCCATGGAACACGACCGCCTCATCCAATGACCTGTAGAGCGTCGGCTCAAGGACGAGGAAGACCTTCGTATCAAGCAAGGTGCGGCATGGAAGCAATCAAAGTGCTCAGATGAAGCTTGGCGCTGTAGAGGAGGAGCGGCGCCTCGAGGAAGAGCGCAAGCGACACGAAGAAGAGGAGAAAAAGCGTCGTGAGGAGGAGGCCAAAAGCCGCGCGGCCGAGCTCGTGCGGCTGGCCGACGAGTTCGAGTCGAGCAAGGACGCGATTGCAGCCAAGGCAGCTCGCCTGCAGCAGGAGCTTCGCCATCGAAAGGAGATCAGAGACGTACGCTGCGCATTGCTATCTTGTCGGCTCATGGCTCGTAGTGGGAAAAGTACCTTGCCTGCGAGACCAAACCTGACGCGACGCTGGAAGGCGACATCAACGCGTTCGTCAACTCGTGGCTCCTCGAGGACGACACGGACCTCCCGAGCGTCGTCAAGTCGTGTGAAGATGCTCGTCGTGTGATCTTGGACCTTATCTACGTCTGCGCCGAGGCGCAAGCGCTCAACCAGCCCGCCCAGCTCGCGCGCTGCGAAGGCTTCATCGAGCACATTATGGAGCTAACACGGCAGAAGATCGAGACCAACACGGCTCACATTTTGCAGTACGCAGACGAATTCCTCGACCAAAACGCCGCCGCCAACGTCAAGGGTGAAGTCAAGATCACGAGCGCGGCGGGCCCAGTCAAGGTACTATTCGCTGCGTTTGCCTCACCTTTGAATCCGCTCTGATGTGGCCAGGTCGGTCTCTGGATCAACATTGTGCCAAAAGGCCTGCGGAACAAGAAAATCGACTTTACGGAAATGGAAATGCTCGTGGATGTGCCCAAGCCTGTTGTGATGCAGTCCCTCGCCGTGCGTGCCATCTACCTTCCGTATGACAACGCGCCCAACTCGGTCCACAACCTCGATGTGGCCCTCGGAGGCGTCTTCTCGATCGATCTACTCTGTCTTCCACCCGCGCCCAAGCGCGCGCGAGGCTGGGTCATGCGAGGTAGGTTCTATGCATGCCCAACACGGCATCACGGATGTATGGTATTGTAGAACTTAGCGCCGAAAAGATCCATCGGCTCGAGTACCCACTCGAAGGCTCTGTTGCAACAGCGTCCCTTGCCATCAAGGTGCGTCGAGTCGCTTACCCACTCAGCTAGACAGCTTTTGTAGGTGTCGGTGACATTACCAAAAGACGTGATTTACCCCGCGAATCCACGCGTCGGGTGGTGGGATGCCAACTCTGAGACGTGGGTCGAAGACGGGATCTCGGAGATCCTCTTCAACGAGGAAGCCAACGTCCTCAACTTCAATACGCTCAAGCTCACCAAGATCGCCGTGCTCCAGCAGCGCAATGCCAACCACATGAAGCACTCGTGGAGTCTCAAGATGAGCACTGTCAACGACGGCGACAAGCACACGTGCGTCGCGCACCTCAAACTCCAAAACGACATGTACCGGCTCATTCATTTGGAAGTTACCGACGTTGGCGTGCGCCTTGTGTCGCCGAGCGTCAAGCAGCTCTCGGAGCTCAACCGTGCGTACTTGCCTCCACAAGAGACGCTGAAGCGCCTCGCGATGGCGGGTATCGACCTAACGCCTTCCATTGCCGACGACGCCCGCTTTGGTGTTACGCCAAAGGACCGCGCACTCGAAGAGAGCTTGGTGTGCGAGCTGCTTGGGATCGCGTGCGCCTTTGAGATCACAAGCATTCCGCACGGCCACGAGTGGGACCCAGCGATTGTGGCGAGCTCCAAGCATGCCGTCTTCAGCGTCAAAGAAATCGTGTGGCCGCTCGTGACGCACGAGACCGAAGACGACGTCAAGACCCTCGACGTCAGCGATTACGTGCATATTATCGCGCAGGTCGATACGGAGACGAGCGCCGGTATCAAGTTTAGCACCAACCGCAGCTCCAACCCATACGACACGTATGTGCACATCAAAGAAGCGCTCGGTCCGCTCTGCACACCGGACGCGAAGGACCGCATGGAGAACTCCAACCTGATTTTCGAGCACAACTTGCTCAAAGTGCTGAGCTTGCTGCGACTCTTTAGCTACACCCAGTCCTTCAAGCAGCACGATATGAGTGCCCGGCGAGTCGTTGACGATGTCGACGACGTGCCAGCAGCGTTAGCCGCGGACGAGTCAGCGCTGGACAAACCGGTCGACGAGGCCACGCCAATCGAACGGCCTGCCGAGCCCGTTGCTACCTAAACAATGCACCACGACCATGTACAAACTCGCATTGTGGGCGTCTTTTATTACACGCCCAGAAAGGCTTTGAGCTCGGTACAGCCGCCCACGTATGTGTCGTTGACAAAGATCTGCGGCACCGTGTGCACGGCGTGGCCAACGCGGTCACAGAGATGCGTATACGAAATGTCGACGTCGACCGTGTACTCCTTGAAGGCCAATTTGGCCTCCGATAAGACGCGCTTGGCCTCGTGGCAGTAGCTGCAGTCGGGCTTGGAGTACACCGTGATCGTGTCGAGCGGGGCCTCGTGCTCGATGACGGGGCCAGACCAGTTCATGTGCAGCCCGCACTCTTGGGCGACTCCACGGAAGCGCGTGTCGCGACCTGACGCCGTCGCGTCGATAGGGCGGCTCGAGTGCGTGTCTCCGATGGTTTCGTAGCCGCGGGCCTTGAGCGGGTGGTAGGGCAGCCCGTGTTTCGTCATGTACTTGTCCACGTCGGCGTCGGTCCAGTGCAAGATGGGACAGATTTTGACTCGGCCGTTGTGGAGATGCACAATGTCGAGGCTCTGGCGATGCGAGGTCTGTTGCGCACGCAGACCGACGAGAAGCGCCGTCGCGCCAAGCTCGCGGAGTGTGTGCTCCATGGGCTCCACCTTGCGCAGGTAGCCATACCGCTTGTGGGCGTCAATTGTGGCGTCTTCCCAGAGCTTGCCATGCATCGCTTCCATGTGTGCTGGCGACAACTTGGACTGCGAAATGTGCAAGTTGAGGCGCAGACGCGTCGTGAGGTCGTTGGCAAACGCATACGTCTCGGGAAAGAGGTACCCCGTGTCGACCCAGACCACCGGTACGTTGGGCTTGGCGCGTGTCACCAAGTGCAGCATCAGAGCCGACTGCACGCCAAAGCTGGAGCTCAAGACGACGCCGTCACCAAAGGTTGCGATGGCCCAGGCGACGATGTCGGCCGCGGACCGCCCACGCAGCGCCGCGTTGGCGTCGGCGACAAGCGTCTCGAGCGCCGACGCGTCCTGGTTGTCTGTTGTCATTGCGTCTCGGATCCCAAATGCAGCCACCTGCGTCCCTGCGGTCCTCGAACGTCGCTTCACGTACCAATCAGAGCCTGCGCTGGCGCCACGTCGGCCCGTTGTTCGAGGGTTGCGATCTTGAACCGTCGCGTCGCTGATTGGTCCTCTATGATACACCAATAGCGTGCGCTCGCACGGAGATTGTGTGGCGATAAATTCAGTCGCATTACCGCAGCCACGTGGGCGTTCGCAACACTATTATTTTTCTCCTGCAGAGACCTCGTCACGTGCTCGCATGCGCCATCGCGAGTCGCGCACGTCATTCGTCCTTCACGGTATTCCACCGCACATCGTAGAAGGCCGTTCTTGATCGATGGCCACGGCGAGGTGGTCTTAAATAGTGTCACGTATTCGCACGGAAATCGTGTGCTGTCCGTGGTTCGAATTACACTCGCGGGTAATAATTCGGGTGCGACAGTGCGATGTCCCTCGGGAGAGAGCGCTTTCGCGTCGCAAGCAAGGGAGTCTGTCACAGCTTTAGATGTGTAAAAGCATGCGATTGTCGTTAAAACGAGGGAGTTCTTTTGGCGCACACTTTTTTCGCGCACGGCTATTTTAATGCGTTGTATAATAAAAAGCACTCGAGTTTGTAATAGAAATCCCACGCCGATGTCTCGATACAAGGCGCGAGTAATGGCCGTCGCGGAATAAAAAAATTCGATCCAGTGTGACAGCGCTGGGAAAAAATTCACCGACGACCGTCAGTCACCTATTGCTGCTTGGACAGCGCCATCCGCGGATAAGTACTGGTAGATATGAACATGCACGCGACGCTGCGGATCATCGACCTCGACTCGGGCAACGCGCAGTACGTCTCATGGGACCCGACGGTCCCGGACGACGCCTTTGAGGGCGTCTTCGAGAGCCTCCTGCGCGAGACCTTTGGCATCACCGAGGACGCGTGGGTCGACCTCATCGACCTCAACAACTCGAGCCTCGTGCCGATGCACAAGGACGCCTTGCTGGCCTCGCAGGCCAAGTCGGGCACGCCGCTCGTGCTCACGCTCTCGTCGAAGACAGAGGCGCTGAGCCCGCTCAAGAAGGACGACATCATCGAGGTCGTCTTTACCGAGCGCTCGCTCGGCATTACAATCCGCGACTACCACCGCGACAACGTCATCGTGAACGCCTTCCGGTCGAACGCCGATGGCACCATGGGCTACGCCGAGGCCACGCGCCTCATTGCGCTCGGCGACGTTGTGTACAAGGTGGCGGCGTCCGCGCCGTCGGCCGCCCCTATGACAGCGTCATTCAGATGCTGCAGAGCCCCGTGCGCCCATTGAGCGTACATTTCTTTCGACCGCGCATGCGCGAAGGCCTCTACGCCGTCGAATTCACAGGCGCGTCGCTCAACATGACCATCACGACCGACGATACACGCGTGCTCGTCTCGCGGCTGCCGCAGCCGCACGCGAATGTCATGGGGTACGCCGAAGCCCACGGCGTGCGCCTCGGCGACTCGATCCATGCGATTGACGGCCACGTCCTCGACGGCCCGGAGTACGGTCGCGCCGTGAGCTTGCTCAAGCGGCCGCAGCGCCCGATGATTGTGGTGTTTTGGCGCGCGTCCGTGACGCCGCAGTACCTGCCGCAGGTGGACACGCCCAAGAGCGTCTCGGGGCGGTCGGCGACCGGGTCGCTTGCGTCGCCGTCGCCGCGCATGTCGTCCAAGAACATGAACGTCGTGACGCCCAACCGTGCGAAGGCCATGACGTTCTCGACCAATGGTCCGTCGCCGCGTCCGTCGCCACGTCCGTCGCCGCGTATGTCGACCAAGCAAAGCAACTATGACATTTACAACAACACGTCGACGATCCAGGGCGGCAGTCTCTTTGGCGACAACATGTCGGTCGACGACATGATTGATTACTGCGAGACGATCGCGTCCATTGGCGTTGTCTCGGCGCACGAAACCGAGATCCTCAAGGACATGCTCAACGGCGGGCGCGGCGACCTCGCGTCGGCCATCCGGCACCGCAACAAGAATGCGATTGTGGCGCTTGTCCGGTCGCCTACCATGCGTCTCTGGGACCATTTGCTCAAGACGCGCGAGTCGATCATTCTCGCAGGCCCCGTGACGTTCAAGAAGACAAAGCGGTACCATCTCTTGCTGACGGACCACGAGCGCGTCCTCTTTGTGAACAAGGCGACCAACGCCCTCGAAGACGAGATCCTCTGCTCGCACATTGTGACGGTGAGCTCCCGCTCCAAGGTCCACGAGCTCGTCATTACGACGACGAAAGCCGAGTACACGCTCAACGACAGCTTTATCGGACCGTCCGTGTGGGTGCGCGCGATCTTGCCCTTTACCAACACGCAGGGCTACCTTAAGGTCGACTCGAACTCGCTCCTTGGCTCCAAGAAGCGCTACTTTGTGCTCAAGGGCGAGAAGCTCTCGGGCTACAAGAAAGACTCGGTCGTCAACGCGCAGGAAGCCAAGCCGTCGACCGTCCTCTTGCGCGACGCGGTCGTGCGGGTCATTGACGCCAAAGCCTTCAAGTTTGAGATTTCGACGCCCGAGCTCGCCAAGTCGGGCAAGAAGCTGACGCTGATTGCGGCCAACGCACGCGAGTACAACAAGTGGATCTCGTCGCTGCAGGCGTTCCAGATGCAGCGCAACACAACTGTCGGCGGCCTCGTGTCGCCGTCGGCGGCCTAAAGAACGACGGAGGACTAGGACCGTGTCTCGTATGTGTTTTTTAACTTATAGTATATCCTCTGCAGCGCCATCACGGTTTGAGTTGCTCCACACGAGGTAAAAATGGACCGTCTTGGCCATGGCGCGGAGACGCTTCCGGGCGCGCTTGTCGGCCATGTCGACAGCACGCAGCAGCAGCGCCTCGAGGTCGCAGAGCGCATCGCAAACGAACAATGACGCGCTGCTCAGCGTCGCCGCGTCCTCGAGCGCTGCCGCGGCGGCCGCAGCGTTCATATCGGGCAGCGACGCAGTGGCGCAGGCAGCGCGGACATCCTCGATCGTCAAGTAGACGCGCTGGCTGTGCAGCACGGGCGAGAGCGCGATGAGGGTTGCGCTCGCTTCGAGCACGTCGGTCGTCCAGTCGCCGTTGTAATCGCGCAGCGTGTACGCGTATGCGAAGAGGAGCTCGAACAAATTGCAGCGGAGCACGGGGCCATTGGGCGCTGCATGCAACGCGCTGATGGGCTCGAGCGCCTTGGCTCGCGCCGTCGTGAGCAGCTGCTTGGGGTGCTGGGGCAGACCGTCGTCCTCGTCATCTTCGTCATCTTCGTCATCGATGGCCACAATCAGCTGGTGTCGGGCGGATTTCGTCGCCGCTGCGTACGCTGCCGGCGACGATGTCCACCATGGTGTCCAGAGCGCAATGAGCTTCCCGAGCCGCCCGTCGGCCACTTCGCGGAGGAATTGCGCGCGCTCGTCCGGCGTGAGGGCGTCGAGAGTCAGTGCATCCGACTCCATGAGCTCCACGAGCTGCTCGAGGCGGTCGTCGAGGCTCGGGTTCTCGTCCGCAAACTCGTCGTACACGCGGCGAAGGGCCTCCTGCATCGCATGGGCAGACGTCGTGTCGACGGTCTTGTTGAGCTGCATCTCGCTCTCGACATGCGCCTTGTAAAAATGCTCGGTGCATGTCTCGCCATGGGTTTTGTAGCAGGCGACGCCGCAGTAGACGACATTGCAGCGGGGACACGTGTACTTGGACGCGGCTTCGGTGCACACGCCGCACACGCGCAGCGCGCTACTGTTGCTGATGCCGGCAGACGACGTGGATTCATGCAGCTGGATGGCGGCAGACGGACCCAGCGTTGTCTTCGTGCTTCCGAACCGGATCGGGACCGTGATCGGCGTCGGCGGAGGCTGCGCTCGTCGGTCCATCGCGAGTGGAAAGTGCAAACTGCGTGTGATTGGTCACAAAGCTCGCTCTTGTATCCAATCGTCGTCAATGATACCATGGATTTCAACCAATGGCATCGTCGCATACCGTTTTGGTTGAAGTGAAAGCATGCTGCGGCGCGGCCACAGTCTAGCGCGTGCGTTCGGGACGCTGCGACCAAGCCGGTTGCTCCCCGCACCTCTCGTCGACGGCCTCGCGATGTTCCAGCGCGAGCATGGCCACTTCATTGTCCCCCGCGACCACGTGTCCCCCGACGGTTTCCCGCTCGGTCAGAAGCTCCAAGGTCTCATTCGCAAGTTGCCGACCATCTCTCGCGAGCGTAGCCATCAGCTAGCCACGATTGGCTTTCCGCTCGAATGGCATGCGTACCTTCTCGACACTGCGATTCTACCTGCTCTCCAGACGTACAAGGCCGTGTTTGGCGATCTCTGGGTGCCTCAAAAGTTTGTCGTGCCGACGGGCGATACGGCGTGGCCAGCGGCCACATGGGGCCTTCGCCTTGGCGAGCGAGTGAGCAACCTGCGCAAGACCAAGAACGACCTTCCGACAGCGCACGCGAAGGCGCTGGACGCAGAGGGATTTGTGTGGCACGCGCGCAACGACCGGCTGTACACGTTGACGCTACCCGCACTGCGTGCCTACCGTGACATTCACAAATCGCCGCACGTTCCCAATGCCTTTGTCGTTCCATCGCAGCTGCCGTGGCCAAGCGAGCTGCATGGCTACAAGCTGGGCCACGCCATGATGGCGCTCAAGGCCAAGCACCGCCTCGGGACGCTACCTACCGACGTCCTCGCCGCTCTCCACGACGTCGACCTCGACTTAGACCAAACGCTGCGGGAGGCCAAGTGGAACGACGTGATTCTGCCAAGTCTCCACGTCTACTTTTCGCTGTACGGGCACTGCGACGTCGAGCAGGCCTTTCTCGTGCCAGCGGGCGGGCCGTGGCCAGCGGCGGCGACGGACTTGGCGCTCGGCCGCATCGTCCGCGACCTTCGAAGCGCCGGCACGTACAGCGAGTTTGTCGAGCGAGACGAGTCGGCACTGCGGGCGCTGGGGTTTGTGTGGAGCCAACTGGAGCGCATGGCGTTTACGATCCAAGCCAAAGTCATCCCGGCGATGGCGGTCTACCGTGCCGAGCACGGCCATGCCTTTGTGCCATCGAATTTCGTCGTGCCAGCGACGCAGCCGTGGCCGACCTTATCGCACCACATGAAGCTCGGTCTCTGGATCGCGCGCACGCGAAGTGAGCTGGATTTGTTGCCGCATAACCTGCAGTTCCTCCTCGAAGAATCCGGGATTGTGTGGCGGCACTTTGACGAGCGGTTCGAGAACGTTGTGCTGCCTGCGGTCAAGACATATAGTGAGTTGCACGGGTCGTGCGAAGACATCTCGTCCAGCTTCCACGTACCGTCTCATGCGCCGTGGCCAGAAGCAGCGTGGGGCCTCAACCTCGGTGGCACGCTCTGGCACATTCGCAACGGCGACTCGTACATCATGGACCCCAAGAAGCTCCGCGCGCTTCGTAAATTCCGCGGCCTCGTCCTGTAACCAAGCACATGGTACTCTTCTAGAATGGGTGTTAGCATCTTTGTCTGTACCGAGTCCGTGGATGTGGATTTGCAGGATTCGTTGGCAGTGCATCGAGGGTTTGGATTGTTAAGGAACTTTCGATCTAACTGTAAATGCGAGCTGGTATTGACCAAAAGTCTAATCATTCGTCGCAAACTATGTAGTTGGGTCCACGAGAATTCCTCGACGTCAGCATAAAAGTGGCGACCGTTCGACTCAGTTCCCATTCTTGACGGTTTTCTAGTTCTTGCGCGCGTCGAGCAGCACCTTTCAAGATTGAACACCGCAGCGCTGCATTGCAAGCGACGATGCCACGTCATGAGCCGGACGAGCCTTGTGCTCTGCGACGCCCTAGCAACACCAAGCAATGCCATCCAGAGACGCGCCCAAATGACTTTCAAGACCGTAAATTGATGAAGTTGCCGAAATTCGTTCTTCTCGAAACAGAGTTGTCCGTTTCATGGTGCGCTCCCAGATCTATGCGATATAACGAATCTTATTGGTGACGGTCGTGAGCAGTACGCGAGCTACCACCATGGCATCCACGTGGCGAGCGCGGACGACGGCGTATGTCCTCGACGCCTTCGCAGTGGCGCTGCTTGCCGGCGCCATCTGGCGCACCCCGAGTGTCGTGGCGACCATGTACCTTCTCGGCGGCGTCGCGGGCTGTCTCACAACGTTTGCGCACCCAGCGCTACCGCCAACGGTCGCCGCGATCGCCGCCGCATCGCTGGTCGGCTACTGCATGGCCGCGGCGTGGCCTCTCGCGCGGGCCAATGTCTGGTTCGCCTTTGCCGGCGTCAACGTCAGCACCGGCAACATCCTCGTCGACGTGGCCGTCGCCGTTCTCGGCCTCGCGCAGACCGTTCGCCAGCGACAGGCCTCTCCGTGCGTCCGAGCTCTTTCTCGCGACGACTCACGAGCCTATGTTGTAGGCGGCCATTGCAGCGTCAGGTGTCGGGTGTCGCGATGCTCGCGTCGCTCTTGGAGCGAGTACCCACGCTGCGCAACGCGGTGCATCGCCTCGACGCACACATCAACCTCCAAGCGCTTGTCGTGCTGCTCAACCAAGCGATCATTGGCGGCTGCCTCTTCATTGCGGCGTTGGCAACTCCCGGCGTCCTCGGTGGCGTCTACTACCTCTTCGGGCTTGGGCGTGTCGTGCAATGGACCTTTGTAACCACCGTGATCACACCTCCGCCGCCCCTTGCGGTCGTCGCCGCGCCGCCGTCGCCGCCCCGTATCATCACCACCTTGCACAAAGCTCTCGAGTTGCATGTGAGCTACGTGGGCATCGCCACCACGAGCCCTCGACGACGGGCCATCGGTGTCTACGTCCAGCGTACTCCTGTCGTTGGCATGGATGGCATGAATGTGACGTGTGCTTGTAGGCGGCGACGAGGCGGTCCTTGTGGGTGCAACGGAGACGCAGGTGGTCGAGGATGTCAACGCAACCTTCCACGCCCCTGTCCATGTGCCCCTCCAAGATGACGAGGTCAGCTTTTGGAGACGACATCACTAAGCCAAGTGGTTGCTGTAGGTGTTGACGCTCAAGGTCGTCGTCTTGGAGACGTCCTCGGAAGAAGCCTCGATCGATGGCATGCGGCGCGTCGGTCAGTGCACCTTTCGATCCTCGACGCTGCTCGCAAAGCACGACAAGACCGACGCTCGATTCCAGCTGCTCGCAAGCGGCGCTGCGTGCGGCCATCTCGGTGTTCGCTTCCAGACGACCACGCGAATCGAGTCGACGGTGGAGCCGACGATGCCGCCAGTTGTCGCGCGCCAACCATCCTTTCATGCGACGCCGTTGGCCGAAGACTTTTTCACGGACGCCAACATCCCCGTCTTGCTCGTTCTCAACGTGGCGTGCCTCCTCTGCGCGTAGGACGCCCCTGGTGCATGGCCGCGTCTGAAACGATTTCTAGGCATGTCTATCAGTATCCGCTTATGGCGACACTGCCCGACATGAGCCGTGTCGGCGAGATCCTCGGTTTCAACGTACGCAGCCATTGCATGTCGCCGTGTCGTTGACGGACTGTGATTAGAGCCAGGCGAGCACGCTCTATGTGTCGATCGCGGCTCAAGTCGGCTTGTTTCTCAGCGCGGCCAAGCTCCGGGGCTTTTATGTCCACGCCAGCGCACCGACGGCAAATGCGCTCGCGTCAAGCTTGCCAGATTTCATCGCCAAGCTCTTTTGCTACGACCTCGTCGCGGTCGCTGTCGCGGTCTTTTGGTGCATTTCGTACCCGTCCTACGTGAGCGCCGGCCTCTTTGGCATCACGTTTCTCTATCTTGGCTTGTACGGCGTCCAATGGAGCGCCACCCCGCTCCTTGTGCTGATGACGAGCTACAGCCTTGTGTACGCCGCGTCAGCGTATCTGCTGCTGCTTCCGTCGGTGGCAGCAGCGCTACCGACGTACTACGCGACACTCGGCTATAACGACATGGATGTGGGCCTCCAAACGATCTGTGCGCTCGTGCTCTGCGGCTGCCACCGGACGCGGCGGGTCTGGTATCAAGCTCCATGTTCGACGTCCGTGGACGACAACGCTGCCGACGCCACGTCGCATTTTGCTCGCTGGCTCCAAGACATGCGGCTCATGGCGCTCTGCCACGTCGACAAGATGGTGCTGTTTACCATTTTGGTACTTCGTTCTGTAGCGAGTCCGATCTAACGGTGTGCGTAGTCGTTGTGCTGAGCACGGCCGCGACCTTGTTTCAAGCGGGCTTTCTCATCCTCGCGACGTACCTCTCGCTCTACAAAGCCCACCGGCAGCGACTCTGGCGCGGCCTCCTCCTCTACTCACTGCTAGTTTGCTTTGCAGTCTATACGTGGAACATTACGTGTCCGACTCCTGAGACGGATGCAACGCTCTACACCATCGCCGGCCTCACCTGCTATCGCGACGCCAAGGTCACGATCCATCCGTCCACACCGAGCCTAGTTGTACCAACCGACGCACCAACCCTGGGACCGATTGTATTGACGCCCGCACCTCCCCCGTTCACCCTCTCGGCACCAGCAACGACGATAACGCCATCTCCCACGGTGACGCCGACACCCACCCCGTTGATCGTCCTCTACAACGGCAGTGGCAGTGGGAATGCATTGGGCATGATCATCGAAGTCGGTGTCTTTAATACGACGGCGCCACGGCTTGGTAGCCTCTGGACGTCATCGCTTTTCAACGCGCAGCTGCTGCTCATCGCCCAAGTCGTCGCTCAGCTCGTGCTCTACAACAAGCACATTCACTTGCGGTAGACAATAGTGTGTTTACTTTGGCATGTACCTTCTGTCTGTCTAGTGCGATTACGGCCAGCAAACGCCCGTGGTTTTACGTGTCGCGTTTCGCGCTAGAGATCGACCGCGCGTACCGCCTCTTTGGCGTCGCCGTCAACTACGTCGTGCTACTCGCCCTCGCCCTCGTGTACGAGCGGACGAGTGACGGACGGTATGCTACGGTTGTCGGCTGCGTGCAGCTCCTTCTTTTGGCTGCGCTTCTCGACTCGCACTTGAGCAACTTGAGCAACTTTCCGCGGGGCACGCCGCACTACCGCCGGCTCTGGCGGCTCGTGCTGATTGTCGAGCTTCTCATCCTCGTGTTGCGCTACGTCTACCAGTTTGAGCCCGTCGCCGATGTGATTCTCCGCAGCTGGAGCTTTCCGTATTGCAACATGGAAGACATTGGGTTTCGCAGGCTCGCGTCCAACACGGAGCTCTCGGGCCTCTTTTTGTACCTGTTGCCAACGTGTGGGGTACACAAAGTTGATTCGACGACCACTGGACTCATAACATGAACGATCTAGATGGCGGGCCTTGCGGCGTGGCAGCTTGCGGCCATGGACAAGAACATCCACGTGCACCGTGTCTTTCGGACTGCGACTTGCGCGGCGTACTGGCAGTACGCGCTGAGTCTCATCCACGCCGTCTCGCACAGCAGCCTTCTGCTCGTCTTCATCGCAGCGATCCTCGCGACGGTTGATATTAGCACGGTCGGCTTTGCGTTTTCTTGATTGCCATTTGCGCGACGCCCCACCGCCGCTTCGACTCGGCGTGGCCGTACCTCTTTTCTCTCGCACTGCTCGCGCTGCTCGTCTTGTACAGCGTGCAGCTCCGCCTCGACGTCTTTGCCAACGCAGACGTGGCCGCCACGCGGCGCTGGCTGGGGTTCGCCCGCCTCGACGACGACGCAGCGGTCGCCACGACGCTCTGGCGGCTCGGTCGGGCGCCGGTGCTGATGATTGTGCTCTGCAGCTTGCAGCGCGTCGCGGCATGGCTCGTACCAGCGTCGTTTACGCCACCACCGGCAGTCTCTAGCTGGGGCATGCTGCTATCTCGGCTCTGGACACGTCCGCTGGCCATTAGCGTCCTCCTCTTCTCGCTTGTCGTGTCGGCCTTTGTGCATCTCAACGTGCTCTCGCTTGGGTACCTGCTGCTCGTCCATGTGGTGCGGCGCGCCGACTGGACGCGCGACAGCTTGTACCTGCAGCTGCTACGCCGCCTCACACCGCTCCTCATGGCGATATCGATCGCGCAGTATGCGCTTCTGCTGTGGGTGCCGTCGTGGCTCCTTGCTTCGCAAAGTGCCTACTTGCCGTGGTCGGCCTTGTCGCCCGCACTGCAGCAGTGGCTCTTCCTGCGCTTCCAGCACAAGTGGTCGCTCATCACCGACTTTACATGCCTCGTGTGCTTGGCGCTGCTGCCGCGGCCGTCGGCGCTCACGGTCGTTGAGACGTACCCCGAGACGATCCAACGACCACATGCGCTCTGGACAACGCTATCGGCGCTCGTGCTGCACTACTCCGTCCCCACCGTACTCGTCTATGTCTTCGTCACGGGCTGCGCGCAATTCGGCGTCGCCTCCGGCGTGTACCTCGCCTACTCCATCTACCTCCTCTTCCATTTAGATCGAAACGACTTGCAGCCCAAGCTCCTGCGCTCGCTCATGGGCTTCAATTGGCTCTACCTCTTTGCGCTCCTCGTCTACCAAATGCCGTGGCTCCACGACACGACGGAGGCTTGCGATCTGGGCACGCGGTCGTCGAGCCATGGCGTCTGTCTCTCGGTGCCCGTCTCGCTCGGGCTCTACAAGGCAGGAACCGCAGCAGGCACATCGGAATCGGCGTCCCCACCGACGCTGTCGATTGTCATGTTTTTCATGCTGCTCTTGCAGGCACAGATCCTCGACTCGCCGGCGTACGCCGATGTGCTCCAAGTACCGAATCTATCGATATCTTCTGGATACCAAACGACGTACTCGACGTGGGTAGCATCATCGGAGTCAGCTTGAGCGGTGCCAGAAGCGCGGGTTCCTCCTCAATGACGCGATCGCAAAAGACCGCATTCTACAGTGGCGCCACCTCAAGCAGGAAAAGCAGGCGGCGATCCAGCGCCTCAAAGTCATCGTCTCCAAGCTTGTCAACAAGGTCGAAGAGATGATGGACATTGCCATGGGGTAGAGACGACATCTTGCGCGTCCTCGGTGGATACCGAGGTGATGTGTAGGCTGCACTATTCGCTTCCACCCGTCGCACCCGCGCGCCCGCGCGTTGTGGCCACGTCGCAGAACTCGGTGACCTTGCATTGGGCGCCGCCCGAATCCAAGATCCACAAGATTCGGAGCTACCGCATCACGCGCCAAGTGTTTCCGTCGCTGACGCTGCTCGGCGACTTTGGCGACGTCGTCACCGTCAAAGCGCACTCGACGACGTGTGAGATCAAGAACCTCCGGCCCGACACCACGTACCAGTTCAAAGTTGCCGCCGTTTCGCGCATGGGCGAAGGGCCCTTTAGCGCCCCGAGCGCCCCCGCCAGTAGCCGCACATCCATTACAAGCGATGACCGCTGAGTCTGAAATAGGCACGATCGCGCTCAACTGGGGCGACACGTGCACCGGCGGCTGGCTGCGCACGCGCAAGACGGTGCCGCGGCACGGCGCGTTTCTGCGTCTTAGCACGTACTTTCCATCGCTCCAGACCGCGCGCTACATGCTCGTATGCGCTTCTTCGTCGTGCTGTAAAATGATTCCATGGGTTCGGATAGCGCTACGTTGTCGTCGACGGCGACCGGCTCACCTTGTATCGAAGCGAAGTCGTCGCCATGAAGCACCGAGACGAGGTTGCTGCGCAGCCGACGCTCCGCCGAAAACGCGCGCTGCAAACCAAGAAGGAGTTCCCGAGCTTCTGTTTCGGCCACGTTGCGAGTCTCGATCTCACCGAGCACCAGCACCAGCTCGACGAAATGTCGCCCAAAATGTACTGCATCGAGGTCCGCGTAGTTGTCCCTGCGCCCAAGGGCCCGCCAAAGACGCGGACGTACAGCTTCCAGCCCGAGTCGACGGCCACTTTCGATACGTGGGTCGCAGCGCTTGCGTACGGAGCGCCGCCTCTGGCGCTGGGGCCGCACCTCCTCGCGTATCTCGGTAGCAAGCACCTAAAGATTCCAGCTTACTTTTTGGCGCCGCCCGCGACAACCAGCATACGCCGGCACTCGACGCAGTCCGACTTGCGAAGTCTCGAGAGTCCGTCGTCGCGGAGCCAGTCGTTTCCGCTGTCGCCCTCGGCACGACACGACTCGCTCTTGTCGGTCGTCGACGCTCCGCCGCCAGCGCGAGCTCCGCACGTGCTGTGGTTGTTGCAGTTTTACGCCTTTCTCTATGTACGTGTGCTCGATTCGCGACATCGAATGACAGGTGGGTAGACGCGACAAGATGTGGCGCTGCAGCACGAGACAAGAGCGCTGGACTTGGACCAGATCGAGACGCTCGAGGTGCCAAGCATGAGCGAGCTGCGCACCGTCCTCGTGAACGTTCTGCGCAGCCACTCGGGCCCGTTCTGCTACCTCTCGTTCATCGCCGCGTTTGCCTTTCAGGTAAAAACCGGATTGGCTCGGACAAGAGCGATCGCATGGTGGCAGGCGGACGCGCTCAACGCGATCTACGTTGTCGCGCTCTTCTTTGTCGTGCTCTGCGAGAACCCGCGACCGAGTGCGTACCTCTGGAAGTGGATTCTCAAATACGTGCGTCGTTCGGACACCTTTTGATGCTTCTCATGGTCGTCGATCGTAGTCGTTTGGAGCTCTCTTTGTCCGATATGTCTTCCAGCTGCCCTTCTTTTGCCACAACTACACGCAGAGCCAGAGCTTGTACCCGAGGTAGCCTCGCTGCATCATGTGCTAGGGCTAGGGCAATGTGATGTAGCATGCAGCCGTTCTGCCCCGAGACACAGCTCTCGCTCACGGCCGTGCCCTTCCAGCCCATCGTGCTCGTCGGACTCTACAAGTACGACGGCAGCGCAAATGTCGACGTCACCACCAAGTTCCAAGGGCTCCAGTGGACTTTCCTTGTGATTTGCACCGTGCTCTTTCACCGGCGCGAGCTTCAGATTCGCGGATTCTGGGTTCACACGTCGGTCGATGCGAGTACGAAGAACGACGAGGACGATCTTGCGGCATTGAAAGCGCTGCCGCGTTGGCAGTACGTCATGCAACGGTACTTGATCAAGCGACCGCCGAGGCCGTCCGAGAAGAAGAACGTCGATGGGCCGCTGGTCTCCAACTTGGACTTGACGCGGCTCCATCTGGACGCGCTCCAAGCCATCGAAGAGACAGAAGCCCAAAACAACCAGAACGATACTGATACCGAAGCGAGTCAGAGCACGCTGAGCCGCCGTCGCACGCGCCGCCACGACTCGACCGACTCGCTCAACGGCAATCAGTTTGAATTGGCCGACTTTTTGGCCACGTCCAACACAGCCGACGTGCCGATGGCGCCGAGCATCGACGAACACGCGACCGTTGCCCACCACACGCGGGAGGACGCGCTTCTCGATCTCAACAATCACGTCGAGCGGCTCTTGGACGAAGGCATCGACGACCAAGTGCCGTTGCAGTTGCACCCGCTCTCCCCGTCGTTTGATCTGGACGACGACGACGCCAGCGACGAGGCGAGTGACAACGACGAGAGTAAGCCGAGCAGGATGGAGGCGGCTTCGCCTACTGAGACACCTGCAACCAGTGCCGTGGAGCCAGTGTACATTGACGAAGCCCAGGCGCTCATTCCGCGCCCACGCGGTTCCGAGCGCTCGTTGGCCGCGAGGTAGAGAGGATACGCTCATCGAATACGATCGACGGTTTTGTAGGCGCCGACGTGGGTCGTCGAGTACTACAAGCACCTGCTGCCGTCGCCGCCGGTCGACTGGGACAAGGACATCAAGAAGGCGGCGCTGGGCACGAAGCCCGGTCGCGACTACTCGCTTGCCTCGTTTGGTGCATGCGTTCTATGTATGGCATTCGCAGTGCTCTTCTTCCGCAACCTCGGCGACCCGCCGGTGCCAGGTGCCGAGCCATCGTCGGTGTTGAGCTTGAGCTCGTTCAACGGCTCGATGCTCTCGGGCTACATGGTCGGCTTGGTCTTCTTCCAGGTGGCGGTCATCATTTGGGATCGCGTCGCGTACGTCTATGGCTCGCTGCATATCAAGTTGTGTTTGCATTACTTTGTCGTGCTCTGCGTGCACGTGCTCGTGTGGCTGGTGCTGCCGACAGCGACGACTACGTACCTCCCATCGTCGCCGTCGCTGATGGTCTACTATGGTCTTCAGTGCATCTACCTCGTGTTGAGCAGCCAGCAAATCAAGTATGGCTACGTCGTCTTTCGGGGCAATCCGCTGAGCATTCGCCAAGCCGACGCGCTCACCAAGTCGACGTTTGGCATTTACCTCGCAACACCTTTTGCGTTTGAGATGCGCGCGCTCCTCGACTACATTTGCTCGACGACTGCGCTCGACCTTCGCATGTGGCTGACGCTCGAAGGTATCGCTGCGCACCTCTTCCAGGTCAAGCTGTCCATGGACACCCGCGTCGAGCAGTGCGACATCTTGACGGTACGCACCGGACGACGAGCCGTTGCCTCTGCAAACGCACGTATACGTAGGGCAACCAGCGACAGCCAATGAAGAGCAAGCTTCAGACGGCTGGCGTGTACTTTGCGGGCATCCTCGTTTGCCTCGTGGCACCGCTGGCGCTCTTCAGCACGGCCAACCCGACGACAGTGCAAAATGCCGTCTTGCAGGCGTCGGCCGAGTTTGGTCTTGTCCAGAGCGACGGCACGTTCCAGCAGCTCTACACGAGTCGTACGACACGACATGTCATGCCTGCCCACGCTCATGCTTCGCTCTCCATTGCCATAGAGTCCAATACGAACCCGGCGTCCAAGCTTGTGTTCACATCGGCCATTGAAACGTACGCTCAGGACATTGTGTTCGCGTCGTACTCGGACAACCTCTGGAGCAGCTCGCCGCCGCTGCGCCGCAAGCTCATGGAGAAGCTCAATTCGACCGACGCCATCCAGTGGAAACTGACTCTGACGTTCACGCGCCCGGCGCCCCAAGGCCAGCAAGCAGTTTGCACATCGCTTTATGAAAAAAGGGCGCACATGGATTTGCTAGGTTAGCCATACGTGGCTACAGAACGTGACGGCGCCGCAGCGACAGCTCATGTCGACAATGATGAACGTCGATGTGGCGGCGCAAGCAAGCTACGCTGGCGGCACTTCGGCCGCGCTGCGCATTCCAAATATGTATCCTTCCGTGCTCAACGTCGCGGCGACGTCTTCACCGCAAGTTCGCGCGCCTTTTCTACTCCGCACGATTGAGGTAAAAACGCATGGATGGCTGCATGGACTGTAAGATTCTGGGGTAGATCCAGCGGTTCTCGGAGGCGTCGAGTGGGAGCTACTGGTCGCTCGTGTCCCTCGACACGTTTGCGTACGCGAATGCCTCGTTGTACGTTGACGCGGGTCCATGTCATGTCTCATAGTCGATTTCTGTAGACCGGTCAGCAACGCGACGGCGATTTCGTGCCCGGCGAGTGCGGGCTTTTGCTTGATCACCGTCTCGGACAACATCGTGCCGGGCTTGAATTCGATTGGTATTGGCTCGTACGGGATCACGGCCACCTACGTCTTTGTACGAACGACGATGCGCTCTGGGATGGATGACACTCTCTGCTGCAGGTGCTCTTTACTATCGGCGCGCATGTCAAGAGCATCCTTCGGGGCAACGTCTCGGACATTCTGTACACGGAGCTTCCGAATCCAGACGACCTCATGGACCTGGTTGAGGTACACACTTTTGCGTTTCCACGCACGAGCGACACGGTGCGGTGTCTGCAGGGCATTTACATTGCGCGCAAGGAAGAGTATGTCGGGCACCTCAAGGTACGCCGATATAAATGTAGGTATGCGCGCATCGAGTGGGCGCATTTAGGACGAAGCCCGGCTCTTTGAGACGCTCATTCGCGTCCTCCGATCGCCCGAGACGCTCCTCAAGGTCACGGGCCCCAACGTGATTCACATTCCCCACGCCAAAGAGAAAGTCGATTAATCACCCTGTAAACTCGCTAGCACATCATTGTACATGCACGAGTCGCCGCGTCAGTCCTGCGACTCGTGGTTGAAGACGACCCAAAATAATATGGAAGCCAGGCTCGCTTCCATATTTTCATTCTAGCCAATCAGCGCGACGATCGGAAGATCGCAACATGCACCGAGGTGCAATGTATGGCACGTATGCGCTCGAGGTGCACGGCCAGGCGCTGCGCCGCCTTGGGCGCCGCCACCGCGTCTACCTCTGCATCGCCATCGCAGCGCTCTACTCCCTGGCCATGGTCGTCCGCATCGACCGGACGCTGCGCGCTACGTCGCTCGACGTGAGCGCTGGACCGTATGGCTGCCTGCCCGTTCCGTCGCTCTCGGTGGCCGCCTGTCCGACGCGCTCGGTTATCGCTATCGGCGAGCGCGTCGTCAACCGAGCGCCGTACGCTGGCACGACCGTCGCGCTTTGCTACACCAACACGACGATCGAGCTCACATTTAGCGCGACGCAGCAAGACACCTTCTTCGTCCAGCCCACGTACGGCCACAACGACAACATTTGGGAGTACAACGGTAGCACAACCTTGCAGCTTGTGTAGCCTCATGCGTGTGTGTAGTCATGGAGACGTTCCTTGCGCTTGGCGACGACGACCCGACCAGCTATTTTGAGTTTGAGGTCTCGCCGACCAACCAGACGTACAGCGCGTTCATCTTGAACCCACGCAGAGACTTCAGCCCGCCCGTGGGCCATTTTTACGTTGGCAAAGACGAAGCCGAGGCGCGGGCGCTCGGGATCACAGCGACCACCAGTATGTACGAGACCAACAAGACGTGGACATCCGACGTGTCGCTGCCACTCAACCTCTTCAACGTGGTCAACCCAAAGGGCTCGGTATGGCGCATGAACTTTCTGCGCAAAATCACGTCGCCGGCAACGTTCCCGCAGCTTGCCTGTGGTGCCTGGAACGCGCCCAACCAAGACAACTTCCACCTGACGTCGTGCTTTGGCCGCGTCCGCTTTGATTGATTCGAGTGATTCTCTCTTGTCAATACAGCGTTATAACATCCTCTTCACGACTCGACGATGGCTCCACCTTGATGCATCGGAACGCGGTCGACATCAAGATACATGCGACGGCAAGGGTCTCTAAGAATGCTAACTCCCCCTTGGCCACGGCCTCGTCTCCCTCCCTCTCCACCACTCGGCCTTGCTGGATCACAGCTCGTGGCGTCTTCAACGGCAGCTATGGCTTGAGGTCATCGCTTCGCGATGCTGCCAGACAAATCGTTCAGGCGTGGCGAGCAGATTTACAGATTTAGATCTGAGCCGGATGTTTCGCGCCATTGTTATCCGGACGTCCGGATACGATGCTGCATTTGGCCTTTCACGAACCATGGGGATTGCGGGGCTCCTCGGCGCGCTCAAGGAGGTCATGGCGCCAGCCCACGCCCGCGACTTCCGCGGGCAGACTGTCGCCGTCGACGCGCTCTCATGGCTTCATAAGGCGTACGTTCCTGTCCTCTTCATGGAGGTCTCGAAGCATGCTGCTATAGGTGCTATGGCTGCGCATGGGACCTCGCGGTCGGCAACGAGACCGAGACGTACGTCAAGTACATCCTCCGACGCACCGACATGCTCAAGGCCGTCGGCGTCAAGCCGCTCCTAGTCTTTGACGGCAACAAGATCCCGCTCAAGGTAGACCTCCCATGGGCATGCGATTGGTCTCATTTGCTTGCAGTCGTCGACGCACGACAAGCGCCGCAGCGCCAAGCAAGACAACCACGACATGGCCATGCAGCACTTGCGAGAAGCTCGCAGCCTCGTGGGCGACGAGCGCAAGGAGAAAATGGCCAAGACGTCCCAGTACTTCCAGCGGGTCCATCCTATCTCCACGTCGCCGTCGCCTAACGCTCGCCTAGTCGATCAACATTACGTCCACCATCATCGCATCCGTGCACGACGCCTTGCGCAAGGCCAACGTCGAGTTTGTGACGGCGTACGATCCTCTTCTCCCTCTATGTGGACTCGGCTGCAGCGCATCTGTAGGCCATTTGAAGCCGATGCGCAGATGGTGTTTCTCTGCAAGCAGCAAGTCACAACGGCCATCATCACGGAGGACTCGGATATCCTCGTCTACTGCGCTGCCGCCAACATAAGCGTCCCGGTCCTCTTCAAGCTCGAGGAAACCGGCGACTGCAAGGTCGTCGACACCACCACAACAGAACCGTACTCATGCCATACTAGATGCTAAGCAAAGACGCGATTCATACCCACGGCAAGGCGAGTGGTACGCCTACTTCGTTCTTTGAATCATTTGGTCATGGGCTATGCAGCTAACGGCGTCTTGCGCAAGCTCTCGCACTTTCTGTCCGGAGGCCACGAGCCTACACGCATGTTTGTGCACGCGTGCATTCTCGCGGGCTGCGACTTTCTCGACTCACTGCCCCACATTGGCATCGTCGTACGCTATGTTCTGATTTCATTTGGATCTAAATGTCGCGATGTAGCGAGCCATTCAGCACGTGTTTGATTACCGCGGCGTAAGAGGCACGCTGCGCATTCCCCGTCTTCTGAGCAAGCTCAAGTTTGACGGTACGACCGTCCCCGACGACTACCTCGAGCGCTTTTACAAGGCCGAAGCGCTCTTTTACCACCACTACGTCTACGACCCGTCGACGCAGCGCTGCGGCTACCTCGTCGCAGCGTCCGACTATGAAGTGGTCGAGGACATTTTCGAGCGTGTGACCGCGTCGTTGGCGGAGACGCCTTTTCTGGGCGCGCTGCCACCACCAGATGTCATTCGCGACATTTACGACAACAAGCGCCTCGCACGAAGTGAGTCAAGTTCTGAAACCAGTTCGCAGCCGAGCCAGAGTGCCCTCTCGACGCAGAATTCCCAGCCAAGTCAGAGCACTCTGCCAACCCAGAATTCGCAGCCGAGCCAGTCGTCGTCGTCATCGCAACGAACCCCGTCGTCCCCACATCGGCAGAAATCTCCAGCGCCCCAGTCCATAACGTCCCAGCGAGCGCCACCATCGCAGTCGTTCCAGTCGCCGCCACCCCGCGCGACAGGCCGGCGCTGGTTTGGGGCCCATGCCGGAAGCTCGCCCGAAGCAACACCATCGCCCGCTGTCGTCAAGCGCCCTGCGTTCAAGCGCCAGCCCATCGACTGCGACGAGGTCCGCGCTAAAACCATGGAGAGCATCTTTAGCGTCTACGCGGTGCCAAACCAACGTTCGTTTCCTCCGTCATTCGGCAGCGGCTCGTCGCCCGTCGCAAGCCAACGCGCGTTCCCTCCGTCGTTTCTCGTCGCCCGGGGCTACCAAACGCTCGTACCCTGCATCGGCTAGCGATGCACTGCCGTCACCACCCGCCAAGAAGCCACATCTCTTTGCAAACGTCAGCGACGACGAGGATGAAGACGAGGAAGATGCGACGTTGTCGGGGGCTGCCTTGCACGCCGCCATGGCCGTCGAGCCCACGACGATTCGGACCGTCCAGTCGGGCATGTCGATCTTCTCGGCGGCAAAGAAAGCTGTGCCCGTGCCCCGCTTGCAGTTTAAGAGCCCCACCAAAGGGGCTGCTGTCCAGCGCGCCTCAAATGCGCTGCCCCCAACGGCCAAGAAGGCCTTCGCTGCGTCCAAGGGTCGTGCCTCGTCCAAGAGTCCAACAACGAAGCAGACGAAAGGAGCTGCGCGCGCGTCTACCAAAGCCTCGGCCACGAAGACGCCACCGACAAAGACGCACGCTGGCACGTTGCTCGGATACTTTACAAAAACGTCGACCGAGTAACACCTCCTTGTGCTATGGCAGTACTCTTCTGCTGACGACTGCCACTACTGCGTTGCGATGGCTTGATGGGGTGGGCGAGCATATACTTGAGCATGCCTGGGTACACTGCTGGGGACGCTGGCGCAGCACCACATCGCTTCTTTGCTTTTTGTTTCAAGGGCGGCGGGTTGCCGTGGGCAACCGTGACGCGCACGCCGCACGCCGCAAGCTTCTGCATGTGCACCTTGGCCACGTCCAGGGCCACGAGCGATTCGTGCCGCGACGTCTGGCGCAAGGCGTGTGCTCGGTTGTGTCGCTCCTGCGCAATCCGTTCGGGGCTGCCAAGAGGGGCGGGAGGTCGACCTCGCATCTCTCTCCGCCGCCGCCACGCCGACTGAATCGAGTTTGCTGCGGTATCGCGCTTCGCCGTGTCCCAGCGCGGCGCGTCGGCCAGAAAACCGGGATCGACTCCGAGGGCTTGCAAAGTGGTTGCATGCGCCTCGGCTACCGCCAGCCAGTGCAAGCCTTGCACTGCAGCGTCTTGGCTGATCTGCAGCGACGCCAGCTGTTGTGTGAGCAGCTGTCGCTGGATTCCGATCGTGAGCGCTTGCTTGGCGCGGACTCGTTTGGCGCGCCACACACACTGAACAACCTTGGCGGCTGTCGCGCGCCGCGCCGCATCAAAATCAAGCGCATCGTTTTCGCTGGTTGCGCGCTCGAGACGATGCAGCCGCTGGTGGAGTAAGACCTCTCCCTGCGTTTGTTCGTGGAGCACTTTGGTCAAGTTGTCGACCATCTCGACGTACATGGTACCTACGCCCATGAGCATGTTTTCAATCTTCGTACAGCATCGTGTTGTGTACCTCGGCGGGTCTCAACGGCGAGCTTGGCCTCGAGTGCACACATCTAGTTTCGTATAAACGCCGCTCGCGATGCCACGTCATGACTACCTGATTGCCGTAAAGCTGCAAGTCGTCGGCGAGCTCGCCAACAGCTTTGGTCTTAGCTTTGGCCGTCTCAGTTGCGATCTTGAGTCTACGAGCCATTTTTGCAACCTCGATTCGAGGAAGGCGCGGTGACCGTTTGTAGCACTTGGCGTAGCGATGCCGTAGGGCGTCATGCTGGTGCTGCAATTCCTGCAGCACGCGCGACGCGTCCTCAAGACGGCTCTGCAGTGCGTGACGTGCGATCGATGCGTGTTGGCGCTCGAGCACGAACGCTTGCAGCTGCGTGTCGTGGCGACGCAAGAGCGATGCGACACAGTCTTCGTACGTCATGGCCGCGATGTCAGCGTCTTTGTGTGCCTCAACCAGCGCCAGCGCGCGCACTTGTAGCTCTGCTGCCTGCTGCGCCGTCTGGACTTGAAGCTCGACCGCTCGTCGCTGGGCCGCGTACGTCTCCGTGCGCTGTGCTTTGCCTTGGACACTGAGTTCCTGAACGCGGCGCTCCAGAGACCGGTTCGTTTCGGTGGTCTCTCGCAGTCGATCCTGGAGGCAGGCGCGTGTCTGTTCGAGCTCATTCATGGTATTGGCTACGGCAGCATCTTGGGTCGCTTGGGCCTGCAAGAGATGGACAAGCCTCTCTCGCTGTGCTGCGACCGTGTGGCGCAAAAGCTGCACAAAAGGAAAGAAGCACCGCTGTTGGCATTTGCGGCTCAGATAGAAGCGCAGACGCAGCAAGGCTAGCGCACGCTACGAGCACACATCGCTGTCTGCGCGTTTCTCGTTGCGCAATGATTGATACCTTGGCGGCGAGAGCCGAATGCTGCAGCTCTTCGTGGCACTCGGCCCGTGTGAGGGCCGTCGCAGAAGCCGAAGCCACTGTCACTTGCTCCAGTACATCTTGCTCGACGGTAGGCGGGGGTGGCGCGACCTCGGTCTGGACACAAAGCGCCGTTTCGAGTCGCTCGATCGTCTCGTGGGCGATCACGAGGGCTGTTGCTAGCGGCGAGAGACGCATTTCGTACTCTTCGAGTTGCATGCTTGTCGTGTCGTGGAGTCGGCGCAAGCTTGCTCTGGCTTCGCCAAGCTTCCGTGTGAGAACGTTCACCTCGACGAGGTACGTGAGCTTTGTCTGCTCTTTAATGATTCGCACGCGCTGAGTCGTCTGATGGAGCTCGAGTCGAACGTGGTCGTGGCGCTGCGTTGCCGCATCGTGCATCGCTTCCAGCTGATGCAGTCGGTCTCGGAGATCGGCTTCGCGCTCTTGGCCAGCGTTCAGCTCGCTTTTGGCTGTCGCCAGTGCCGCGTCCATTGCTGTGCACTGGTGCAGCGCAGCGTCCCTGGCTCGCTCGGTGGCGTCCAGTGTCTTGGCCACCACGTTGTGGGCTGCGGCTAGGGCTTCTGTCTAGGCACGCCATCATCGCCAATAATGTCGTCTCACTGCTCGTCACATTATTACCTTGGTGGTTTGCTGCTGGAGATTGAACGCGAGCTGCGTGGCCTCTGCGACACGCGTGCCCATGGCCACGAGCTTGGCTTCCAACCGCTTTTTGGCGTCGCCCACGGAGCGGTGGGCGGCTTGCTCCTTGAGGAACATGCGCTGCATCTGGCCGAGCTCAGTCGTTGCGGCCGCCGCGGTTGCATCCGCGTCCATTCGCGCGCGACGCAACGACGCCACTTGCGCTTCGAGCGCTGCGACTTTGTCGGCTGCGATCCCCAGCGCTTCGTCCTACGCCGGATTCGTGCTACGAGGGCGAGACGAGCGCGACGCGTACATCGGTGCGGAGCATCGCCACACTGCCGCCGCACGCCTAGCGCATGCTTCGAGTCGTGCTAGCTCTTGAAGACGCTAGGTACCTTGCATGGCGAGATGCGAAGGACTGCATTTGTCGGGCTAAATAGCGCCAAGTGCGGCGTGAGGTCGACGCTGGGCAGCGCGCGGAGGGCTTCGTCGGGCCCTAGCCCATGCGCAAAGAGTCGATCGCGCACGACAATGATATCGTGCATGTAAGCTGCCCGAAGGTCGTCCAGTAGCTGGGTGCGCCGGTGCAGCTGGTCGCGGAGCACGTCGACTTCGTTGCTGGGGCTGCATGAGCCCTTCTGCATCAATACTGGTGTCGGTGGCCAACGGTTACAGCGGCCTTTCCAAGTACTGACTACGCAGGCTATCGTCCACCTTGCGCGTAGATGGTGCTGCTCGTGGCCCAAGGCATGCTGTGGAGCGGCAAAAGCAGTCGATGGACGACGCCACAAGACACACGTCGATTCGTGAAGATGCTTAGCCAAAACGGTTGCTTCTAGTCAATCATGGTCTACTTGGTCTGCTTCACGGCGTCAAGGACCAGGCCGCGGAAGGCGAGGACGCGCGAGTTCCAGCTCTCGCGCACCGTCGTGTAGTACTCGTGTTCGACGGCGTGGCGCGGCAGCGGCTTCTTGGTCGTGGCCCTTCGGACGGGTGGGTTGACGCGCGTGCGCATGGCGTCGATGCGCAGAAGCGCGTCCGCCGTGCGCTCCTCGATGAGCGCCCGCGTCGAGAGGTACCCCGCGGCCGCCACGAGGACGCCAGCGCTGAAAGCTCGGGCCACCATTCTTCCTTTCTTGCTTGTTGACGGATCACAAAAAAACGACGTCCGGATACACAGCCACCCGACGTCCGGATAAACGACCGAAGATCGCGATCAGTGCGTGGACAACCTACGCCACGCGAGGAACCCATACCAAGGACACTCGAACATCGTCCTCCGATACAAGTCCGCCTCGACCAAGATTGGTAGTGGATGCCATGGCCCACGATAGGAAGTTCCCTCGCGCGAACATGGCGGCGGCGGCCTGACGGCGCTGCGCGTTGGTTGCATTTCGGAATGTCCGACGTCAACACCGTGCATGCAACGGTAGCCTCAACATCCTTCTGGAAAGGTCTCTCTCTGCGGTACAAAGCAGCGTTTTGCCCGTAATGTTCGACTCGAAACTCCGTTTCTGGCTGCCGTCGCGCGTGTCAATGGCCTCGTCGCGTGACCGCGCGTCGAGCTCATAGCTCAAGGCATGGGGTAGCTTTAAAGCCTGGGCTAAAGCTATTAGCTAAAGCACGTACTATGAAATAGTACGCAGCAGCAGTAACAGCCCGCTTGGGCAACGATGGTCTCTGTCGTTTCGTCGCGACCCGGACGTTTCAAGCCCAAGCTACTCGATGCACCAGACAACCGACGGCGCGAGGAGCGAATCGAAGCGCGCTGCCTGCCAGGAACAGCAGGAGGTTGGTGTCGGGCTTGCTACAATAGCCAACGTGTCGTCGGTGCCAGCGCGCCGAGGGTGTTGCACACGTCGAAGACACCTTGGCGAAGTCGGCGGTTTTCTTCGAATTTCGAATTTCGAATGCCACGCGTGGCGGCGGTTCCGGCGGCCATTTCGCGATCCGGTGGTACCATGCGCCACCACTCGTCGCCCGAGATCTCGTCCGAGGTCATGGCGTCGGCGCTGGAGCTCACGGAGGCGTCGCTCTGGGCGAAGATGGCGGAGGACGAGAAGGTCTACGTGGAGCCCACGTTCGAGCTCTATCGCTGCTACCCGCCCGACACGACACTGCCCAAGTACTTTGTCAAGGCGTGGCTGCCGTACGCCGCCGACACGCTCTTCAACGTCCTCGCCGACATCCCGTACCGCAAGACGTGGGACGCGTCCGTGAAGCAGGCGTACGTCGTCGACCAGTCGCCGCGCGACTGCATGCTCGACGTCGTCTATTGGTGCATCAAGATGCCATGGCCCTTCTCGAACCGCGACTACGTCTACCATCGGCGCGTCGCGTACCTCGAGAACGCGTTCGTGCTTGTCGCCCACGCCGGCTTGCACAAGGACGCGCCCGAAGTCAACCACACGATCCGCGTCGAAGCGTTCGCATCGCGCATCGTGATTCGTTCGTCCGGCGTCAACGGCTGCGACGTGTACGTCGAGTACTGCGACGAGTCCAACTACAGCGTGCCCAATACGCTCATCAACTGGGGCCTCCAAACCGGCCTCTCTTCGTACCTCAACGACCTCAAGATGGCCTGCGCCAACTACGCGGCGTATACGCGCAGCCTCAGCGACGACGCGGTCCAGGAGATTCCGTCCCAGCTCGTGCGATTGCGCTCGGAGCGAAAGAAATCGATGCGGCGCCCGTCCCTGCGGCATGCGCGGTCGTACTCGGTCGACGAGCCCGACCCGACACTCTTTCCGCCGTCGCCGACGCACCGCCGCGTGTCGCCCACGAGTCGCAGCGCGCGGTCGCTCTCGGCGTTTGCATTGCCAAATGTCGACGCCTCGACCTTCTTTCTGGACTTCGCGCAGGACCACACGGGTCTCCGGCTCGAGACAGACGTGTTTTCCAAGCTCGTCGTTGTCCTCGGGTGCGACCCCGGCACCGAGGCCGCCAAGTCGATGGCGGCGCTTCCCCGCGGCACGATCGTCGTGTCGCTCAACGCAGTGTCGGTCCAAGGGCAGAGCTTAAAGGAGATCATCGACCGCATCCGCCGGGCACCGCGACCCCTTGTCATTGGCTTTCAGCTCGTCCACGATGATATTGTGGCGACGTCCGTGCTGGAAAAGTACGTATCCGTTTTTCTTGATAAATTGATGATATTCGAATGCATTAGGTCGGACGATGCGGTCAAGCTCCACGTCCACCACAGCGACAACCTCCACGAGTACATTGGCGGTCGCGCTCCGAAAGCCGGGGCCGTGCTCCTGCGCCCGTTCACCTTTCATAACGATGTGGTTGTGCCCGCGGGCTGGCAAGTGCTCGAGATCAACGGCGCCAACATGCTCGAGCTCTCGCTGAACGAGGTCGTGCACTACCTCCGCTGCAACACGTCGGCCAAGCTCGTCGTCCTCGGCAAAGAAGATCGACCGAAACTCTCGCTCACGCGGCTGGCAGTCTCAGCTTTAGCTCCAAGTCGCTCAAACCAAAGCCTCTCTCGACAGCGTGTGCGTCATCATCGTCACCGCTCAGCGCCGCGCCGCCGAGTCCTTCGGCAGCCGATGTCGACGCCCGCGCACTCCGAGAGACGCTCATGGACTACGGCCACGTCGCCGTCAACCTCGACAATGCACAGTGGGTCTGGACACACATTGAGCTGCTCATGAACGAAGAAAGGCACTTCTCGGCCGGTCCGCTCATTGAAAAGCTCGAGCAATTTCTGGGCGCGCGCAAGGACAACCCGGTGTGTGCATCGATTCAAGCACAAGTGGACGCCAAGCAGCCAGCGCTTGCGCTTGTCAAGGAGCGTTGTGCCCAAGGCATGCACGCGCTGCACGAGTTCAATGCGGACGCTGACGCTGGCTGGCGGTTTGCCCAGACCTACTTTGGCGTCTCGACCCACTGGAAGCCGGGTATTAGTATCCTGGATAGACGATCGCAGTGGAATTTACGATAACGGGACTAGGCGACGACGGCACGATCTGGCTCAAGCTCGACGGCATCTGCGAAGGCGTCGACATCTTCAATGCACTCGCCGTCGTGCGGGAAACCGACCTCTTCAACCTCTGGGCGCCCTTTTGCAACAAATCGTCGCTCCTCGCGACGCTCGGCCGCGTCGAATTGATCACGTACCTCAGCGTCGCGATCCCGCTCATGCAGCGCGACGCTGTGGTCCACGCATTTGGCATCAACGCCACGTACGAGCACCGGTGTGTCGTGCTCCTCGGAAAATCCATCACCGAGGACCAGAGTCCCGTCAACAACATTGAATTTCCGCCCGTAAAAGGCTGGAACGCCGACCGCATGGAGCTACGGGCGTTCCGCGCGCTCGTCGAGCCCTACGCGCGCAACCGCGGCCGCACCTGTACGCCCCTCTCTCTCCCACGAACGAAATGCATACGAAATGCACTAGGCATCGTCGTCAACGTCCATCCAAAGTGCCCCGTGCCCATGTCGCTGCTCAACTTTACCATCAAAAAGATGGCCGGCGTCCTCCTCTATTTGCTCATGCGCGAAGCCGCCAAGGTCGAAAAGCATTCGGACGAGCCGGGCACGACCAACCAGCACGTCCTGCGCATCCAGAACGACCCGTTCTACGCGTGGCTGCGCCTCCGCATGAACAAGTGGTTTGAGCACTTGGACGCGGGCACGCTCCCGACGCCACTCTTGGTGCGCCCGCGCCTCGACCGCGCGTCCTCCGGGTCGGTCTACGGCACCCGCATCGAGTCGCAGACCAACCTCAAGTCGGCTCCGACGCGCCGAAAGAGTGGCGTCGACGTTGTGCGTGCAGTGCTGGACCGTGTCTACGACGTGGCCGTCTGGCCGTACGTGCTCCTCGCCCTCGTGTACGGCTATCTCGTGACGCCGACGACGCCGCTCCTGCATGCGCACGGGATGAAGGCTCTCTTGACGTGCGTCTTTGCGTGGTTTGGCGTCTCCGGGTCCTTCTCGTGGCAGGCGCGTGTGAATGGTAGTGCTCTGTCCGTGCTTCTGTAGTTGATGTTGGTGCATAGAGCACGTCATGGCCGAGATCCAACGGCTTCGGTTCCGTGTCGTGGTCGTCGCGCTCTTCTTCGAGCTCCTCTCGACCGTGATGGCGTACGTGTGGACGCACCACTTGGCGTGCCGCGTGAGTCCCAGCCACTTGCAGCTCGCTTGCAGCCAGCGGTCGCCACTGGAAGTCCGCGCGACCGATCACTTTTGGATGGTCGCCAACTCGTTTCTCGCCGCGAGCTTCACGGTCGGGATCCAAATCCTTGTCAAGATACATATTTAATACAAATCACTGCAACATGGGAACGCGGTTCTGCACAACAAACACCATGACGCCACGTCATGCACGAATCCCACCAAGCACACATATTATTATCACAGTGTAAAATGTGTGCTATCGTCTCCATTGTATGTGTGTGAAACACGTGCAAATGTCAGCATGGTGCTTCAGATGTCGCCCGTGAAGATTGCGCACTGGCGCGCCGCGTAGTGAGCTGTTGGGACCATACCAATGGTCCCAACGTCGGGTCCACCATTTGCGAATCGTGTCCTCTGTGCCAAATGTAGAGCATAAGACCATACCAATGGTCTTATGCTCTACATTTGGCCCAGAGAACACGATTCGCAAATAGTGGACTCGATGTTGCAAGTCAAGGGTGCAAAACGGCTAGTTGTCCGTGGCGAGGAACGCGTGCGCCTCAATGGCGCTGAGTGAGAGTCGCTTCGTCTCGTCGTCGACGAGGATCTGGGTGATTAAGTCGATGCCATCGACCGACATGTCGTCGGGGAATTGGAGGGGCAACAACGTGTCGCCGTCGCCGTCGGTGACCGGCGTGGCCCCCGAGAGAAGCGTGAAGAGGACGATGCCAAGGCTCCACACGTCGACCTAACGTAAACGTATGAGAATATGAGAGCGTTTTGTGCTCCTTGACGTGCCGGTGTCGAGTGGCACTTGTCCGACTTCATTTCTTTCGGCGGGTTTGTGTTGGGGCCAGGCAGAGAGACCCGCTTGCCCCGAGCGGCCCCACCAAAGTTTGCGATCTTCACCGTGCCCTAGACAAGAAGCACAGTCAGATCAAATTGGCGGGTCCATCTGTGTCATACGTCTTCAGTGACAAGAATATTGTCGAGCGTGAGGCGGCGGTGAGCGACGCCGTTGCCGTGGATGGTCTTGAGGCCTTGGACCAGCTGCCGAGCCACGTTGGCAACTTCCCAAGGTGCAACAGGATCTGGCGCCGGGTAAACGGTGTGTAAGTCGCCCTTGACGCAGTACTCCATGACAATGAAGACTTTGTCGTTTGTGTAAAACCACCCAAAGACGGGCACGACCGCGGGATCTTGAATGTGGAATCCAAATTCAACCGCCCGCCGAAAGTTCACACACGCGCCGTACGTCATTGACGCGCGTACGATGGCCTTGATGGCGACAACCGTGCCACTCGAGCAGTGCGTGGCCTTGAACACGGTAGTGGCCTTGCCCGTTGCAATCGGCGCGTAGTCTTCGAAGTCATCATAGTCGAGCAACGTGCCGCCTTCATTGAAGGGGCGCGGGTAGCAACCCAGCTCGCGAGGGTACTCGTCGCGAAACAGGTGCGGAAACAAATCTACAAGGACCATTGGAATTATGCGCGACGAGTTCGTGCGGGTCCTACCCCGCAAGTTTAACGGACATGGCTCGCCGAACGCCGCGATAACGCTGCTACGCTTACGCGCTGCCCTCACACTCATCACATATTGTGGAGCAGTCTACTGGGTACATGTGCGAAAAGAAAACGTTAGCCGTACCGCGGAATCGCCGTCGCTGCTCATCACGAGCGGTGACAGGAGAAGAGTGGCGCTAACTTGCATGTCGGCGTCGTGCGCCGGTGTAGCGACGCCGATCGCTGCCGCCTCCGCCTAGGTAATAAGAAACCACATAAAAATGCGAGTCGATGCAAATGACGCGTGTACCGCTTCGTCGCGACGCAAAACGTCGTACGATTCTTGGTCGAATAGCTCGTCAAGTCCAATGGCAACGAGTTTCGCGCCTTCAACTGCCGCATCAGCATGCGATGCGCGCTCCTTTGCTTCCTGACGCTTGACCTACGTCATGCGCGTCAGAAATCCAGTCACGAGCCACGTGTAGACCTACGGCGTCGAAGTACGCGTGCAGCTTCAGTGCGCACGCCAACTTGGTGTCGCCCTTGGGCAAGCTGGCCATCACGCACATCGCCCTCAGATTCTTCAGACTGCACGCCGTCTGGAGCTCAGCCTTGGTCATGTCGATACAGGCGCGCAGGTCGTCGGGCATTCGGTCCACCTCGTGACGACGTGCATGAGTTCAAGAGGATCAGCGTTGCCATACCTTGATGGCTGATCGTCCCTTCTTCGTTGCCGACGACGGAAACGGGGTGGCCGCGGCACGCTTCTTCCCTTTGCTCTGGTTCACCGAGCTCTTGAGTGGTGTATTGTTCTCCTAGCACGATGCGTCGGGTACATGGCGCCGACGATCCTACGAGTCTACCTTGAACGCCATATCGGCCTCCACCGCTTCTTCCATGTTGAGGTTGCGCTCATCGAGCTTGTCCATTCGATCCTATGGATGTTGCCGGTCGCTGTCGCCGTCATGCGTAGTCGTCTACCTTCCATGCGCCGTCGACCATGCTCGGCGTCGCGGCAGTTGCCTTCGTCAGGTGACGCATGGCGCTCTTGGGTGCTTCCCCCTACCTTCCCCATGGAGCCATGTACGAGAGAGGTTTCCCGTACCTCCATGACGGTCTCGGTCGCGTCCATTCTCACCGCCACGCTCGTTGCTTGTCCGGCTCTCGCGCTCAAAATCGATCTGCCCAAAAAGATTTTACTCGCACTATTTTGGCCAATCAGAGACCGAGCAACAACCTTTACACACAACCTATTGAGGTCCACCATTGTATGGGTCTCGATGCCACTGCAAGTCGTTGGCTTGGACGACTGCTCAATCCACACGTAGACTACCTCACCAGAGTTTCTTTTGATGATGCCTGCGTTGGCCGAGTTTGGTGAGGAGAGGTTGCGTTTTGCAAGAATGGCGCCGGGCTTC